TGACTTGCCTTTTTTTTTAAACTCCCCAAAAATGTGTTAGCAAGTGATGATTTTCTGAGCAGGAATAACATATTCTCTAACGTCTCTTTATCTGTGGTAGGATTTTCAGTTTGAGCCAAGGCCCCACAGATGCCTCAGTGCTCCTACCAACTGCTCTTTCGCCTGAAAATCAGAGAACCGCCTGCAGACGCCAACTGCTGCAACCACAAGGAAGCACGCAGACCGAGCAAGTGTGACTCCCATGATCACACAGCCGCGGGCTCCATTCTGCTGGTTTCTAATTTGTGCTGATCCATATTTCTCTTCATAAGACCAAATCTAAGCTTTTACGGAAGCGCACAGCTGTTCAGTCCATAAAGACGTTCATCAACAGCTCAGTAACGTCTATATTTAAAATATCATTTTGTAAATGCAATTTTGTTACCTAAAGATTCCCCTTAATAAAGCCACCCAAAGAATTGTCACATCTCAACCACTTCATTATGCTGAAATTATGAAAATACAGTACAGTCGCTCTGCACTTCCTCCACCTCTGGATCCTGAAGGGAAAAGTTTATTGAGAAATCAAATGTGCACAATTTTCGTCTTAACCCAACTGAGTATAAACATGACCAGTCATCTTGAAGCCATTTTTAAGTTCATTTTTATAGTTAACAGTGTGATACAGTGTCACATAAGCAAGTCTATTTCAGATAACCCACCGTAGTCTGAAGCAATGTGTAACGAATTAGACATGTAATTTGCACAGTGCTAATTGGTGGCACATAAGCTTTCATTACTTGTTAGCAATGTTAGCATCAAAACTCCAGTGCAAAAGCTAAACAAGTAAACTTCAGATATTAGCAGATCAGCAACATTTGGTGTAGGTGGATGTTCACTGAACTCCTCCCTTAAAGGCACAATTGGCCGTATTGTCACTAGGATGGATGCGTGATAAGGGTCTTTCCTTGGTACAACACTTGGCATCTGTAATGTCCTGTAATCTAAACTTTTGAGAAGGGGTGTAACAATGTATCGTGACATGTTATGTACATGATCCTACATGGGAAGTTGGTCATTTTGCTGCCTAACTATGCCCTGTCTGGGGGCAGCACAGTGTTGATAACAGAGCAGCGACATTTGGGGCAGTAGGGGGTTAAGTGCCTTTCCAAAGGTCACAATCAGGTGTACCTAGTCACTCCGAGGAATTGAACCCATAACCTTCCGTTTGCTGGCTCAACTCTCCTACCACCAGGCCTTACTTTAAGTAACTCTTTTTGTGTATTTGCAATCACAATCTGAAAATACTCAAGCTGTGATTAATCCAGGTTTAGATACTCAGGCTGCGATTAATCCAGGTTTAAATATTCAGACTGTGATTAATCCAGGTTTAGATACTCAGGTTATGATTAATCCAGGTTTAGATACTCAGGCTGTGATTAATCCAGGTTTAGACACTCAGGCATGACATTTAGGCCAATCACAGGATACACTATGTGGACAACGTATTGGAACACACAAGTTAGTTTGTGAAATTTCTTCCCTCCTAGATGTTTCAGGATCATCTGTGAGTATTATTATTGAAAAGTGGAAGTGTTTAGAAACCACGCAGAGCAGGGTCGAGTGCTGAGTGCTGAGGCGCATAGTGCATAAAAGTCGCCAATGCTCTGCTGACTCAATAACTGCAGAGTTCAAACCTCCTCTGGCATTAACATCAGCACAAAACTGCAACGGGAGCTTCATGGCATGGGTTTCCATGGCTGAGCAGCTGCATGCAAGCTTTACATCACCAAGCACAATACCAAGCGTCGAATGGAGTGGTGTAAAGCACACCGTCACTGGACTCTGGAGCAGTGGAAATTTATTCTGTGGAGTGACGAATGATCTTCTGGATGAATGAGCAAAACTTCCCACAGACACTCCAAAATCTTGTAGAAAGCTTCCCAGAAGAGTAGAAGCTGTTACAGCTGCAAAGCAGGGCGGACCAACTCCATATTAATACTTATAGATTTAGAATGGGATGTCATAAAAGCTCCTGTAGGTGTAATGTGTAGGTGTCCCAATGCTTTTATCCACATAGTGTACATGAGGAAAAGTCACCAAAGAAGGAAAAAAAATCATACTACCAAAATATGTAGAAAGTAAAGCATTTATAAAAGTAAAAAACAACACTAACCCCCTTGCTGGATCAAACAATGCTCAATGTTAGCTGAGTAAACAAGAAATACTGTGAGGTGAGACAGACACCTGGATCCAGAGTGCTGAGATCCAGGTGTCAATTTAAATTGTAACTTATTAGAACCCCAAACAAGCATCCAATCATCAGCAATACACAATTAGCCAGTTATAAATGTATGTAATTTAGACAGGTTGTGGTAGGCATTGTTATTAGATAGCCACCAATTTTACAGTATATCAGCTAGCAATATGGCCCTCAAAAGGCCAGGGCCTGTCCTGCTGATGTACTGCCAGTGCACATTATCTTTCTGCATACTGTGTGAGACAGTTTTGCATTAAACTATGTGTAGTTTGTGGTTTGATCATCATATAAGGCTTTCCAGTTAATCTGTTTGTTGAGAAACTGACCCATTTTAAGACAAAACCACCTATATTGTATTTAAAAGTTGAAAACAGTCTGTTTCTTGGCTTTTCCCAACACAAAACTATTCAAAAGCACAGAACCAGACCACACACTTTCTCCACTGCTCTAAAGTGCAGGTATTCATGCTCATTATAAGTTTGTGTTTATTGCAAACTGCTATGTAAACATCAGTTTTGCAAGCTGAATTCACACAGCTTTAGTTTCTACTTTTTAAAAAAGCAGCTCTCTTATTAAGTGTCCATCTCTGCCTGTCAGTGGGCTCTGGCTGGTGATAGCTATTGTCCTGTCCTGAAGCAGTTTTTCCTGGTTAGGCACAGGCTGTCATGATTTTTGACACTGTTCTCCCTGGACACAATGAAAAAACATTTACAGTTTCTGTTACCAACACAATTTGGGAAGCATTAGCAGTTTTACAACTGGCTACATTTTATGCTGTTTTAGGAACACTGGACTGATTTTGATTTTTAAGAGCAGGATACTGATAATTATTATTAACATGAATTGTGCACTCATGGGCTAAGTTTCACAGACCCAGGAAAACCTAGATTAAACGAACATTTTGATGAGGAAACACCATCCACATTGCACCTAATCTGCAGTCGTATGCACAGTTTGAACACTCCTGGTCAAATGACGTTTTGTTGATTTTGTAGGAGAAAATTAATCCAGGTTTAGATACTCAAGTTGTGATTACTCCAGGTTTAGGTGCTCACGCTTACTACAATTATTTAAAGCGCACTATTCATGCCTATGCCTGATTCAATGTCACTAAAACCACATCTCCCAACAGCCCACACTCTAAACTGCATCACAGCATCACTTGTGATGAAGTTAAGAATTTGACAGCATGCCAAAGTCAAACATGTGTACCTCCTCCTATTGGCACCTCGCTGTGTTTTGGAGTAACTACACTAGTCTTTCTAGTAAACGTTTAAGCTGTGATACTTTTGTTTTTAAATGTTTAGTGACAAATTATGACAAATAAAAAAAATACACAAATAAGACTATTTTGTTAATATTACAAAACCATAGGCTTTAATGTTCACCACTTTTTATCATTCACACAGTGGCCCACACTGATCTGGGATCAGTTCTTGCTTATCACAGTGCACTATACAGATCTACAGAGACTGATGAGACCCAACTTTAGAACTGTACTTTTACTTGATACTTGACAAATATGGGCCAATGGCCACTTTTCCAAAATCATGAAATGGAATTTAGAAAATTCTGGTTTTGTGTAGGCTTCCCTGTTATAGCATATAAATTAATAATGCAGTTTAAAATAAACCATTCATTTACTAATTAGATATAAAATAACATTTGTATTATATTCACTAATATTACATCAAATTAAACTTTTGCTAAAATCACAAAGCGAAAATGATGCAACCTATAAAACCCATGGTTTGCAACATTTTCCCCAAAATCTACCAATTGAAAAAAAAAAACTAAAAATAGTTTTAAAATATCAGAAAGTATTATTTCATCAATAAAATCAGAACTTGGGTCTCTGAGGACTAAAGGTGTAGATTAGACGAGCTTTAGACTACCTCTTGAGATTTGCACACTTGGCTCTACTCCATGTACGCAGCTTCTTTGGCTCCACGTTTACTTTACACCTGACGTATACAAGTGCTGCCCTCTAGTGACCATGTCATCACATGAATTATTGCGACACTACAGAATCCTATGCCAAGCAGATTTGTATTGAAGCCTTAAATATTCCCCAGATCCTTTTGGTCCAAGTGAGGTAAGGCTTAGTCTTGGTCCTGGAGCATTACTGCCCTCCGCAATCACAAGTTTGTGTGGCTCTAAACGCCTAATGCAACTAATCAACTACTGACCAAACCCTTCCCAGGCTGAACTGGGTGCATTAGAGCAGGGAAAACACTACAACATGCTGGGCAGTGGTATTTCACAGTTAGCTTGATAATTTAGACCCCAAAAACAAGGCTGCCCATTAGTGGAGGTAAGGAACATACCTGTTTGACAATCCTCAACTTTTGACTTACCCAGCTTGCTGAGAAATCCTATATCGTGAAACACCATTCACACAATTTTACGGCAGAACACTGAGGGAGGAGAAAATATAGATAGGCACTGGGTGACTGATAACAGTAGTGCAGACCTAACAGTAGCCACCTTACAGGAAAGATGCAGAGTTTCTTGACATCACTGGCAGAATTTCAATTTCCATTTACCTAGACATAAACATCAGTTTATTATATATATATATATTTTACACACTCAATTCCTGTTTACTACCTCTAATCAACTGTCCGCCTTTTATCAGAGACTTTATATGAAGATTTTTCAGCATCAGTATACACTGATTACAAAAAATTTCAACACACTGCAGCACAAATTATTTTGTACAATGTTTCTTAAACGTAAAGAAAACCAAAGAAAAGCACAATTAATTATCAAAGGTCTAGTATTTATTTCAGTCAGTAAAAATTACATATGTACACACATGAACAACTGGTTATACAAGCATAAAATACATATCTATTTATAAAAAAAATAGTTCATTTACATAGTGTGGAATGAATTAAAAGATCAAGTGTAAGCCCCAATCACTTCCACCCATCCAATTCAGTGAATCCCTCCTGTGTCCAACTTATGAAGAGCAACTACAGCAGAGGGTCTTTTCATAGCGGTCTGTGTAACTGTGGAGTCAGAACAGACGTGTCAATGAGGGGAAAAAAAAACTGCAGTACTACATTCAGTCCTATGATGCTACAGGGAACCTGAGCCATCAAATTCAAGGCCTGTAAGCATTCATTTTATTAAAAAGTGCAGTGAACACAGTTCAGGCAGACACAAGCAACTCCCTTTTTGTCCAAAAAAAACAGAACTGGACTCAAACACCAGTAAGAAATTTGGGTACTATTTTTTGTCTTTTCTTATTTCTAGTATTAAGCTTGCTGTAGTATAATTAAAAAGCTCACATTAAGCAACAGTCATTAACTTGCTAGTTTACAGCCATCTGTGAAAACAGCAGCCAAATGGTTAGTCATAACAGACCAAGCTACATGAAACACCTCTGATATAACTTAAGCATTTTGTGAAGTAAACTGTGACCACATTTGCAGTAAGTTTTCATTTTTTGTGCTTCGACATTCACTGTTCAGTGTTGAAACAAGCAGGATCTTAACTGCTTAACTGATGCTAAATTCTCATGTTAGCTAGCTAGTTGTGCTCTGCATCTGTATACATACAACACAGACTGGCTGTTTTCAAATTGAAAGATACAAGCTGAAAAAGGCTAGGATAGTAACGTTAGCTGAGGTAACTTACCATTAGCATCTGTCTGTTTATATAAAGACTGGCTGCCTTTTTGTGTAAATTTCAAGCCACGTGATTTACTTTAGCTTTCTGTGGTCTTAGTACGGCTTTACTTTAATATGCTGTGATGCACTGTTCAATTCCTCAGCACTTGATGGAGCACCGACACGGGTGTGCATACCTCCATTAAAACAACGGTTTAGATTTTTTGGACACTGCATCACATAGCGCTTCCGGTGAGCGTTGGCCTTTAGAGAAGGCAGTTTTACATGCTTTACATTCTTGCAGGCAAAATGATTTGACTGATCTCAATAACATTTTATTTTCAAGAAAATAAGTATTAATTGGGGAACCCTGCCTAAGTCAAAATCTTTTAAAACGTCTGCAAAGTTAAGCTGTTAAGATGAAATCATTTAGAGGTGTTTGATGCAAAATGCTCTGCTCTGTAGAAACTTGAGTTAGATTTGTTCACTATGTTGCAATGACAGAAGCCAGATATTTTAAGTGGTTAATGACTCTAAAGCTACCTCACGGACAGCCTGGTGCCTGAGACATTGTTTTACGATGCTCTACGTTTTGGGATAAAGTTTTGGCCAAAAAATGTTTTGTTTTTTTTTTCATTTATTTGTGAAGGAGTGGTCCACGCAGGGTATTAGAAGGCAAAACGGCCCTTTAAAACAAAAGATTTACCTCCTTTTACCATACTTATAAAATCTCAGACACTTCACTGCTTTTGGATAGTAAATAAAATGCCTATGTTTGCACTGTAAACATTGTGACCAATGGTTCACATCGCCACCTCTGTTTAAAAAAAAAAAAAGTTTTTTTTTTTTGTAACTTTCTCTACAGTGAGTCACTTCACATTATACCACTCTGAATGACTTCATTTACATCTCAATGACAAACATGCAGGTCAATGAAACATGCAAATCATGGAACTCTGCTTTAAGGTCCCCAAATGTTCATACACTGCCCTGATACTACATACGAATGAATTCTTAAAGGCACTTCTTGAAACGTAAAAGATATGTTGGCACAGGGAAAGATAATGGACCATATTTATAAAGCATCTCAGAGTAAAAACAATGATCACTTCAGCAGTCCATGTAACCCCATTCAATGCTACGTAAAAGGCATAAACTGATCCTAGATCAACATTCTTAATCTAAGAAGTCTGATAAATATAAGACCCGTTGCTGCTGTAGGACTTACTCAGTAACAGTGCATATGGAGCAGCAGTGGCTGGAGCAGCTGCTGCACTGCTGGGTGCAAGCTAGACACACAGGGCGTTCACACTGTGAGCACGGTCTCCTTGCTCCCGACGCCCTCTGACACACTCCACACACTGCAGGAGCGTTCACAGCATCTGAGGGAACATCAGAAACTCATCAGGGCATTACATTTATACTGTTAATCCTAGCACACAGAAAATAACCAACAAAACCTTTGACTTAAGTAAATAAAACACCCAAAACCTTCATAAGTCTTCATATACTGAGAGAACTGCTCAGTTGACATTTAAGAATTTGTCCCCTGAATTTTATAACAGTGGTAGCAGACCAGTCAAAAAAGCAGTCCCTGCTTTTAACCAGCATTTCTTAGTCTTGAATTCGATTTGTCTGAGCTAGTAATAGGGCAGCCAGCATGACCACAAGGGTAACAATTTAACACCAGGTAAAATCATGCAAGGCAAATAATCCTTAGATTTACCTGAAACAGGCTTTGCTTTCTTTAGCTTGCCATCCAGGCCAATCAGCGTCTGTCCTTTAAGGAGCATCTGGCTATTTGTGGGCTGTAGAACATGACCCTGATTGCTCATATCCACGTCAGAGCACTTTCCCTCTGCATCCACCTTCCAGATTCGCTCCATTACTGCTTTAGTCCCATTGAAGAGCAGGCTCTTGGTCTTTTCTGTAGATGGGGAGAAATGCATTTATTTATTAGCTAGTTGTTAGCTTACAAACTTCAGACAGCAGGCTGTTCTAACGTTTCACACGTGATCGACTCTATACTCAGTCCTTCCACAATATTCTGTAGGTACAGGTGCTTTATGATGAAGTTAACCTAGATACAGATGAATGTGCTGTGGACCATGTGCACCCACCCATAAGGAGCATCAGTATAGAGGCTGTTAGCCAGATACAGGCCATACTCGCCTTCATCTACCTTCCACAGACATTAGCTGTGAAATTAAAACTCGTGCATGTTTAATAACTCGCAAAATAATAAATGCCGAGTAGAGGCTAATATTACATTTGCACAAGCTTATTTAAACTACACTAGACAAAGCTGAAGTCAGCTTCGTTTGAATTTTCCCGTTCCACCTTAAACGCTGGCGCCTGAACGTAACCGTTGCCCAAGTTAAGGTGGAACGAGAAATCCGAACAAAAAGTCGGCGAATAAGAAGCTGACTTCAGCTTTGTAGTCAAAAATATTGCGTTCGTCGGCTCACTGTGAAAAATATCACGTCTAAGTAACGTTTATAATCGACAGTAAAAAAGTGAAATCTGTTGTTTGAGGTGTTGATGCAGTGTTATTCGTGCGGAACTGATGTAACGAATGCCTGAGCCAAATTCAGCCCAGTTTCACTCCGTGTATTGCGTAACTTCACCCACCAAATTAAGTTTCAGCACTATTTTATTAACATCTAAATCAAACTACGTCCACTTCGGCTATTAAAACAGTGAATTTTTTATTCACTCCTTGTATTCAGTGTTTTCAACCGCATTCAGTAAACAACCCGCACCGTTTTATTTACAGATCAACTACAGCGCCGCCTACCGGGAGCCTAACTGGAGAAACAGTCCTGCTAACTAACCTGAGCTACTCGGTCAGTTAACTTTGTAAATACTAAAAATGAGTCCGATAGGAGGATTTAACGGTCGTCAGCCCAATATTTTACACCACTCCTAATCTGCTAATAAGAGTCTAGAACTGGCTAAAGCGGCTAAAAGGTGTGTTACTTTAGCGTGGTGGCTAAAAACAGACGCAGCCCACAACACTCACCATAGACTTCCTGCCTGTACTTGTTGCCGAAAACACCGTGCAGGTTCAGCTCCTTTTGTCCGACATGGATCTTATACTGCGACGAGAACGACTCGCTGAATGGACAAGACCTTTTAGGCATTTTCAGTAGGAAATGTGAAAAAGTAGAGAGCTGAGAGGCCGAGAGGAGTGATGCGGACAATGAAGCAGACAAGGCGGCTTGGTGAGCAACGCTGTTTCGCGCGAAATAAGTCCGCGCTTTAATGCGACTCTCCGTGAGTCAATTGGCTGAACAAAAACACTTTATCGCCACCTAATGGTCTGGCATCAGAGAGGCTGAGGCCGAATAGTGGACTGAAATGTCCTCTCCTGTCTGCCGTCTTTGATTTTGTCTGCTCTGCAGCTCATGGTGTCACTGCACACACTGACAGAGCTGTGGAGACACCTGGCTACAAATCAGGCAAAATCACGGCAAGCAAATGACCGCGGAGCTCTGCCCACCCTCTCAGAGGAGTCACATGACCTACTGTGTCCTGATCATAACAAGTAAGTTATTTCTCTGCCAGTCAATGCGTATATGAGGGACGACACGTGCCAAATAATGAACAAACAAAAAAACAAACCAACTAACTAACAAAATAAAACATGTGGAAATAAACAGCATAAAGGTATAAATAAAAAGTGAGAGATGCATAATAAATAAATAAATACATACATAAATAAAGGAGTATATACATATGGGCAGAAATACTGAAATAAAGAATTCATATTTATTTAAAATGATTTATTTCTCCATTTACTAATTTCTGTATTTCTTTCCCCAACCCATGCCAATGAAGTTGGCAGCAGTAACATAATTCTTACAAACTGTTGGTCGAGTTTGGCCTGCGAGGCAGAGCAGACTCTACTAAACAGCAGGTCGATTGAATGAATGTGAAATTCAAGAAAATTCCGACATGCTGAACTGAAGACTTCTTCTGTATATTCGTTTCTGTTAAATGACAGATAATGCAATTATACAGCATCATCCAACAATTCACACTTAATTAAAATATGACCTACAAGAGTCCTGAACCAGCTATCTGTATCCCTGCACAGGACATAAAACAACATTCAGCACCATTTCTGCTAGGCTCAGAGAAGCTGCTGTGGGCTTTATGTCATTAGAGTTAGAAAGCAATATTGACATCAGTCTATATATTGTTAATTTCTGTGTTTACTATTTTGCCCCATTAAAATACTTTAGATTTACTTTAGTTGTTAAATGTGGTTCTCAGTAAAAATGAAGGGACATCCAGAATAATATGCCATTGTCATTCTACAAAAAAGGTTTACTTAAGCATCCAGAACGGTTTCATTTGGAAAAAAAAGTAAATAAATACACAATACCATGTTAAATGTCAAAACTGTCAGTAATTGTAATTCTACCACAATGTAAATTTTTGCCCATACTGCCCACTACTACTGCTGCATCCTCATACTCTGCTACAGCTCAGACCTGCTTGGCTGAGCCATGTCAGTAGAATTTGTATAGAGCGGAACCGGTGGTGTATATATCCGAAATAATGTTTCAAAGTCAAAACCTCCTGCTAGTCAGCTTTTTGGTGCAAAAGGTTATCAATAAAGGACTGACTGACACATTTACTACCACATTTTACAAAGCTTGCCAGTTTGTATTGGTTATTTTGGTGAGGTTGCCAGTCTTCTGATGTCAGTCCAATGTACTGCAGTGTTAGCTTGCATGTAGCAGTGTTTGTATTTTGACATCTTAACAATCTTGTAAATCAGAGGATCCAGTGATATTAGCAGGAAAAAGGTTTGGGACATTTTTGTTTACCATAGGGCACAATAAGGGCCGTGACTAAGATTTTAGAATAGAATTTAAGAATTGTAAATTTGCAGTCCATTTACAGAAAAGTGCCCTACATCACACAATGACTAAACTAACTACCAAATAATTGTATTACACAAATTGTTAGTTTCTCATTTATAATTATTTTAACCAAATCATTGCTTTTTTTACCTGTCCATGATTATGTCCTCTTCCCCACTCTTCCAGTTTTCTATAAACTGCTATTACTGTTCCATAACCTCCAACTACCCCGTTTAATTATTTTAAAATTAATCGTTTAACTACTTGTTTACCCATTTCTTTTCAGCTGAAAATACCTGCTGATGTGTATAGACTTACGTATACTAAATCAGTTAATAATTACATTGATTTTATTTCATTTAACTCTCTCTGTCTCTCAGTTTCTATGCCTTTTGCTCTTTCGTCTTTGTTCTTGCAGCTCACACAAAAAGCAAGCATTAAAAATACTTAATAAAAGTCTGTCTTTACCAAATCCCAGTTAACTGGAAGGAATATGCTCGTACAGTTAACCAGACATAATACGACAAAATGTGCCTGCTGTTTTCTGAATTATATTAGATGATACTGTGCCATCAATATACTAGTTAACAGTAAACCTTCCAATGTTGGTGTTATAGTATGTCATGAGTAGGTAACGCAATAGAACTTTGAACTACCATTACATTTCCCATTTAACTGCTAATATGAGCCAACGAGCTACAGAGCCTGTAGCCTAAACTGAGCAGCTATTGAAACTAGACCAAAGCATGTTGATTTAGCTGGCAATGTTTTGAGTGTTCCAAATAAAAAACGAGTTAATAAGTTTGCATTTTACAGGCATAATCTGTTATTTAACCTCATAAACTCTCACACTTTAGCATAGCTTTGTTGTATGTTCGCTTATGCTGCATACCAGAACATTGTAGCATTGGCGCAGCGTCTCGTAGAAAAACACAGGAGGAAGATAAGTCTTAACCACAGCTGTCCCTTGTGGTCATCTGAGGGCCAGTCACTGTTGACTGGGTAGTGTCGTCGCTGTTTCCACACTGAATCTCATAAAATTCTTCAAAAACTCCCTGAGTGTCATCACACTAGTTCCGAACGTGACTGCCGGACGATAAACAGAAAGCTTTAGGCAGCTGCAGATAGCAACGGTTGCTAAGCAGTGATTGGAGGGCTGAGAAAAGAAGGTGGAGCCTGGCTTAGAGCGTAATGATTTGACTGGCCGTAACACAGTGACAGCGCTCACAGAAAACTAATCAGATATCACCATCTTATGATAATTGATGATAAATATTATAATCCAGTCAGACTGGACAGGGCTGTTATCAGATTGGCGGTGTTTCCACGTTAAATCTTATAAACGGAGATATGTGAAAGAACCCTTCTGAAACTACCGAGGTCCGGACCTGTTGGCCGGTTGCACCAGCTGTGCGTAAGTTCAAACACAGGCTAGTTGTAACTAAAAGTGTTTACTAAGGTAAGCATTACTAAATCAAAACGAGTTGCACCTCAAAAACTAGATTTAACGTTGAGTTTAGCAGTTACTAAATATGTACACCTCCCCTTAAGCAGGTGCAGGTTTAGGTGAAACCATCAGAAGCCACACAGAAAGCACAGCTGCCCAAACGGCCAAACTGAGGCTGCTGTTGTGTCGGTTAGCCAGAAACTCTCGTTTGAAAAGCTGCATATTTAGTTATCTTAGGGAAATATTACAAAATGAACAGACACAGCCTGTAGATAATTCGTTTATTCAGTTTAACTTGTGCACATCGTTTTCTTCTATGCTGGTTACATCACTTAAAGTCACAGAAGGCTGCCGTCGCGTTTCAATGGCAGTGGGTTTATAGATCAGTTCTGATGTTACCGTCACCTTAAAGTCACATATGCATTAGTTAAGTTAGTCGTTAATAGTTAAGACATGACTTACGGAGTAAAGTCATGTCTTAACTAGTAAAAGGAGTAAAAGGAAAGTTTGAAACCGACCACAGGTTTTTCTGATTGCCACAGCAGTGCATGCAGCAGTCAATGTTCAAGATGTTTTTTATATATTCTAAGCAATTTTCTCTATTTGCACTCCCCGGAGTCGCCTATGTATGCCCTTGATATTGGACAGCTGATTATAAGCACCGTGGTAATTTTTTTTATGATTAAAATTCCAGCCAGTTTTTCCCATAGATGTCTCACAATACTTGCCCAAAATTTTAATATTTCAAACTGCATGGCACAAATTTCTTGCTGCTTTGAAAAGCTGCATACGGTCATTATCAAATGATTCCTTAACTGTGAGGAAGTATCACTCCGATACCTGACCTGGATTTATTAGAATGTAATCACTGATGTCCAACCAGAGGAAACCTTTGTACGGTGGGGGGGGCGACTTAAGTAGCGTCTGGTGTTTTACTGCCATCCTTAGGGCCACTGGCAGGCCAGCTCAGATAATCTTGGCAAAGGACAGTGGAACAGAATGTTCTGTCAGTATCTATTTCTGAAGCAGCGTCACTGATGTCCTGTCTAACCTAAAATCTGATATGAAACAAAACTGTGAGAAACGTTTATTCAAGAGTAACAATGTCAGGAAAATGAATGAAGAAAAACTATAACAGACAGCATACATGATCTCATATTATGTACTCTTAACTAAGCCATTTCATGCAATAGCACTCAAAGGGGAGTAAATGTGATCCTGAGATTGCTGGAGTAAATAAATGCAAGTCACAAACGTGATTCACAAAAGTCAGAGCTAACATGATACAACACGACAAAATGTCAGTAGTTTAACTTCATATGAAATACAAATGAAAGCAAGTGTCATGCCACATGAAAACCACTGCAAGATTTTGTGAAACAGGGTCAACAATATCTCTAGCTCAAAGATTTTCAAAGAAGTGGACAATACTGACGTTTTTAATAGTTTGATCTTCTGCACCCAGCCTCTTACACACACACACACACACATACGCACAGTTACACAGACACACATGCCCGCAAGTATTTTATGTGTAAATGGCCTTCATTTTGATCCAAGAAGAAAAAAATTGCACAATATTTGAATAAAATAATGCCTGGACACAACCCCCTATTAGAGGTCAGATAGCTTAACCCTTATCAAGAGAAAGGTGTATTATCAAGTGAAAACTTACTTGTCAAACATGTCAACTCAGTCAAATAATGCCAACTACTTAGACAAAATCCCACTGTTCTGTCTCAAGTCTCATGTCTACACACAGCATTTGTGAATGCCAGTCCAGTGACTGTGACATTAGTGAGATTGCCAGCGATTTTCCTGAGAGGTGACGCATGTTGTTGATAGACGTTCCTGATGTCAGTGGAGGCAGACACTCTAGAACATCTGTATCATGCATTCTCTGGACTTGCCAACGCCCACCCACTTAACTGCAAAGAGATAGAAACAAGAGTTACAACTACACCAAACTGCAGAAAAGTGCTTAAAAAGATTGAAGAAAAAGAGAAAAGAAGGTTTGAAATTGTTTTTAGGGATGCACCAAAATTAGCCACTGAAAAATTTTTTAGCCAAAAATGTCCAAACATTACACTTTCAGGTTTTAGGGAAATAAGTAAAATGGCAATCATTTATAAATAAATAAGAAATTACATACGCATTGAACAAAATGTTTTTCTTTACCTTGTTGTATTACTCTGTAGCATAAATTAAAATGAATTACAATTAATACAATTCACACAGTGGACAATACATAAATGAATAGTGATGCACCAAAATGACAAATCTTGATCGAAAAGCAAAAAACAGGAACTGAAAAGTAATCGTTTTCATTACCATGTTTTTTAAAGTCTTAGATTTTGACACTTTGTTGTAGGTCTATTTTTTTCTCATTTGGCTGTTTCTGACCATTTTTGGTTGACAAGTTTTAGTGGCCAAAATTTTGCTGCTCCCCTTAAGTGTGTCCTGAATGTCAGCTGGAGCTAAAAATGTTCTTTCCACCAATTTTCATTTGCATCACTATATGTTGTTTTACATACTTACTGCTATGCCATTTCTGTTTGACTTACTAGGAACACCAATGTGGTTCTCCACAAAGCGGATGTAATTCTGGGCTTTGGGAGGCAGATCATTCCATTTCCTGGCTGCTGAGGTGTCAGTTTTCCAGCCAGGGAAAGTCTCATACTCTACTTCGACTTTCTGCAGGACCTCCATGTTAGCTAAGTGAGCAGAAAACAAGAATCACAGACAAAAACAGTGAGTAGACTGGCTTTTTGCTTATGTCTGGGGAAGTCTGGGGAAGATCAAGCTGGAAGTTCATGAGTTTGAATTGTTTTGAAAAAAGTCAATGTGATGGACTCATACCCATACTTGATGGATACTGGCCAACAGGGAGGCACTACAGCATGAAAATACCTGTAATCTGTGATCTTCTCCAAACCAACACTTAAACTGTAAACTGTAGTATTTAGTGAAATTTGGTGAGAATTACAGTTATGTTCATGTTATAGCGGTCCCCTATTGGCCAATATCCATCAAAAGAAGTATGCCATCCCAGAGCCTCATCCTTCACCCATCAACTTTGGTAAGGATTGGATTAAGCATTGAGAATGCGTTTTTTTGGTCACAGAGCAGAGTACAGAGTTTTTCAGCATGAAGCAAAATAATAAAACTGTCAAACTAAACTTTAAATAAAAAAGTGAAGTTGGTCACTTGATAGACGGTTAAATGGATCTGTACGCCTCTAGTACCACCTCATAAACATCATATATAGTGATGCTGATTCTGTTAGATTTTACCTGGAAAATGGGGAATTCTTTTGCCATTCAGTTTGTAGGCAACACCCACTTTAATGTCATCAAGTACATCAAGGATGTCCAGTTTAGTTAAAGCAATACTGTAAAAAGACACAAAAACACCCATTACTAATTTGCAAGTGTTCACTGGTATAAATAACGTACTGTAAGCAATATTTTAAAGTATTTGCATTATGGTAGTATTAGAAATATTAGTACTGGTTTAGCATTTAAACTGACCCTTCTCTAAATAGCTGACACTTCAGTTTTAAACAACTCACGCTGTGAATCCGTTGATCATGTGCGCATATCTGAGGATGACCAAATCTAGCCAGCCACAGCGTCTCTTCCTGCCAGTGGTTACACCCACTTCATGACCTCGTGTCTGCAACAGCTCCCCTATAGCCTAAACAGAGGACAACGTCTTAAGACAAAAGTCACCAAAAGGCATTACCCAGCTTGGTATTTGAAGTGGTCATAAGGACGAGGATCACTGTGTTTTCTATGTATAAATATGAAACATTAGTATCAGCATCCACAGCTTAAATAAATGAGAATCTAGTACAAGCGTGAAAATGATTTTCCAATCCAACACCTGGGCCTGTATTTGCAAAGCTTCTTTGAGTAAGAGTGCTGATCCAGGAACTGTTCTTGCTTTCAAGGTCAGTGTAGATAAGACAGGAATCTGGTTCTAAATCAGCACTTTAAGAAGCTTTATGAATACAGGTTCAGGCCTCATGCCATTCTGTTCAGTTGTGTAAAAGACAAAAACTGACCCAGATCAGCATTCTTAAGTTTGATAAATATGGACTCTGATCACACACAGTATCACATGTAAAACAAAGGTTAAGACAATTACTGCTAGTACTTGTCTTTGAGTTTAATTAAAGGACCTAAGTATTTTAGAACTTAGTATTTAAGAGTGTTTTAGAAATTACTGTCTTTCACTTCAGAGAGGAAAAAATAATCACATACAGGTAGGTCTCCTGTTTCAGGAATGCATGTACGGCTGACCCTGGTCAAAAGGGCCGCTCTCACGTTCCGAAATCAAACCCCTGGCAGGGTCTCAAAGCCTAAATTTATCTTCTGTTCATGTGATGGCTATTAGAGCACTCTATGGGACAGCAGCTGCTCCAGAAGGATAATCCCTTCTCTTAGTGATGTGTGAAAGTCACAAGTATGTATACAAGCGCACTGTATATATACAGTATGTATACAACAAGTGCACCCCAGATCATATCTAAATATACATACACTAGAGTTTGAAAGTTTGGAATCACTTGTCATATTAATAAACTACTGTTGCTTTTACTGTGTAGATTGAAGGTATTTTAAGGTGTTTTGTTCAATAGTTCATGTTTTTGGTAAATAAACAACAACAACAACAATAATAAAAAGAAGTTATTTGATGATTAATATACTATAATTATTTGTTTAGAGTAATTTCTTGTTACGTGCCTTGAGATTTGATCACCATGTTTTAAACATGGGGCACTATGGATGTTAATGTTATTCTAACGTCAATCTCAATGTTATACAGCTTTCTCAGTTATTATGGAATCATCTACATCTGTATGGCAGCAATTCATAAGGCTATTCATAAGGCAATGAACCTACATGCTTTTCAAGACAATGTACGTATGGCTACATAAACGTTTTAAGGCTTTTTCCAACAAGTGAACACTTTCTGGGGTGAAACTGACCAAAGCACTCTTTATGACAGTTGATGCTTGTTAGAATGAGCCTATACAAATGTTAATGTAGGTTTATGTCAGTTGTCATTAAAGGTTTATGTAGCTGTCATGTAGAGTTACGAATGCTGTCCTTTAGTAAAGTGTTACTGTATCATTTTACACATTTATCTTCAACAAACTGCTTTTATATGAACGTAAACAGTGATTCCAAACTTCTTAATGATCTATATTCAAAGTGACAAACCAATACAGAGTGGAAACTAGCAAGTCCATTCAGTGTCAGCCATTGTATGGTTTTATGCCAAACTGTTCCTGGGCTATTAGTGATGTAAACATGAGCTCTTACATTGAGCTGTTCCGTTGGGAAAGCCCCAATGCCCACTCTAGTCGTGTAGGCTTTCGACACTCCATACACATCTCCAATGTTTGCGGGGGGGATGCCAAGCCCAGTACACACCCCACCAACGGTGCAGTTGGATGATGTCACAAATGGATAGGTTCCTAGACAGAACACATACATCTGCTTTCTAAGAATGACGTGAGTTATGATGAAATAGATACTGCACTACAGGTCTCATTGATGCCCGTACCAAAGTCAATGTCTAGGAGGGCAGCATTTGCACCCTCTACAAGGATCTTCTTTGGGGGTCCATTAATTGCATCATACATGAAATATACACCGTCCCTCACCATGGGTCTTATTCTCTCTGCATACTCCTGCAAAATGTATAAGGGAGTTTAGGTCAGAGAGATAAAGACTACTAAGGTAGTAACTACATAAATGCGAAGTTTTCCTAATCCAACTGACCTTCAGTTTTTTCAGCTCACCGTCAACATCGATTTTAAGACCTGGGTACATGGACTGGTACTGCTGTGCAAGGTTTTTGAACCTGTAAAGGGAAGTGGAGAAACAGGTTGAAATCAAGTTTACTATCCTCATCTTAAGCATGACCTTGTAAATGCTGGTGCAAATATGTTGCATCTTTACCTGGCAGAAAACTCTTTAAAATCTGCTAGCAGGTCACAGATGCGAAGTCCGGTGCGAGAAGCCTTGCAGGAGTAAGCAGGTCCAATACCTTTCTTAGTTGTTCCTATGCTGTTATGAAAAAAAAAAAAACATTATGGAAACACCAGTGGGCACCACAATTCCTAGCTTGTAGCTCTTGATGTAGTTCAGATATCTCATTCGTCTTGTTTACTTACTTTTTGCCTTCCTGTGCTTGTCTCTGGACTTCTTGCATTCCATCCACAGCCTGATGGAAGTCAAACACTAACAGAGAACAATGAGGTTTTCTACTTTATCATTTCATCACCATGATACCCAATATCATTTGCTATATATAAAAATCATACCTATGTGAGCTCTATCAGAGATGACGAGTCTTTTCTCCCATCCTTTCAAGCCTAACCATTGAAGTAAAGGATAATCAATAATTGTAGTCTTTGGCTTTGAACACAGAACCTCAAACTAAAAATTTAAGTTAAGGAAAACTATACTGCCAGTCCTATACATTTATCTCCTGATAGCTGATTCTAGTTTCTGTTATTTGGGAAAAAATCTGCAGTGTAAACTGACACAAATGGGCACCATCTGGTTCTACTTGCAGAATGCAGGCAGAGGTCCAGTCAAACACACCTGCCTCACAGATGCCTCTCAGAACAGGGCTGATTAGACCTATCAGATGTTTGTGCTAGGCCTGAGGACAAATCCAGCATAGTGCCCTTTTGCTTCAGCAGAAATCATCACAACACAACACAACACGGCCTATGCTTTACCTTTTTTCTCATTTTTGTCAATCTCTTCAAACAGTCCAGGAAGGTGAATGACTACTCCATTGCCTGTGAGTAGAATGAGTAAGAGGAATAAGTATTTGATCTTTTAATTCTTTAGACACTCTTTGTTCCCCTGTTGAAACTAGAGGAATCTATTTTAGACTTAGCAATCAGATATCCCGCTTTAAATCATGGCTCGCTAATAAATAAGCAGGAGTGCAAACCTTCTGTCTTGTGTTTCTTACCCCCTTTCCGTCTGTTTTGGTGGTCTCTCAGTTGAAATATACATTTTTTTCTTACAATCATAGAATATACATTTTAATGAAAATGTGTATGATTTACAAAACTAGTAGAGAACTAGTAGAGTTCTCACCTCATTCACCTATGATTGCTCACTAGCAGCTCAACACGAAATCATAATGTTTCACCCACAGAGAGTCAACTGGTTGTTATTAATTCAAATATCAAACTGATTTCCATTCGGCTAGGGGGCCTTCTGGGGAATCACTGTCCTGCACAGTTTCATCTATTCTTTGCCCTATCGCACCTGAGCCAGTGGGGGCAGGGAACAGTAAACTTGTCATCAGGAGCAGAATCAAGAAACACTGCAATATATTATCAATACACAAAGTAAAAAACAATAAATCAAATTTTTTCTCAGATTTTCCCCTCACAACTCCCCAAAAATGCACTTACAATACATTTTTATTGGAAGAATAAGAGTTTATTGAAAGAATGTTAACTTGAATTAACTTGCTACACTGTAATTATTGGCAGGATTTCACAGTATTTAGTAAAGTACTGTATTCATCATTGTATTGTGAAATCAACTCATTTTAAGGTCACACAGCATTATGGGATATGACAGTTAAAAAGGCCTAAACATTTTAATTAAAACAAGCGTTTTTATTCTGACGCTTCAGGTTTTGCTGTTTTAAAGACTTTTAAATTTGTACGCTGTTAAGTTAATGTTAAAAGTTAAAATGTCAGTTAAATGTGTAGTTTAATTTAAAAGACATTCTGAGATATTTGCATTGTACAATGTGCATTGTTTTTTTTATTTACACTCAGATCTGGTGAAATTAAAAGTAATATTTAAAATATGTAAATGCAGTAAATTAATGGCTACTGAGTTGCATTACTTTTACAGTTGTAATGTAAAAATACAGGCATTTTTATTACTGTAAGTGAACAGCAGAACACAGATATGTCACAGTAATCTTGTGGTGCAAGTTAATGTTAAGTCATAGTACAAAGTTGCTATTTTCTGTTATTTACTGTTAATATTATACTGCAAATTCCTGTGAAAGTAGTGCAACTAGTAGCCAGTAATTTAGTGTAATTTTACAGTGATTTTTTTTACAGTGTAGGATTTTAGTTAATACACAACATCAATTTCTATACCATGTACATTGAACTGCATGTGTTCATGTGGCCACCCAATACAATGTATATTAATAAATTGTCATGGTCCATACTCTAAAACCAACTAAATTTCTAAAAAAGCTGAATCTTCATGTGGGTAACTCAGTTAGATCTCTGCACTCACCAATGAGCGAGATGCATTTGGTACTGATGATGCCACTGGGAAGGAGATGGAAGTCATACTCTGTCCCTTCGACCACCACTGTGTGGCCTGCATTGTTTCCTCCCTGCAAGGTGACATACATGGACTTGTCATTTCAGATGCTTTATAAATTTCACCAATCAAACTTACTGAGATTTAGCTGTAAACATTGGGCTAGTCTGCAGCTTTGCATGTGTCAGGGGGAACACAGTGTAAGGAGGAATCAGACACTCCAAACCCAGGGATTCAGTAGCAGTGCAGTCTGGATTTGTGATCATATTTTCTTCTGTGATAAACATGGAAATGTGACTGTGACCCCCACCCCCCTTTGCAGACAAACTGTCGGTTTGCCCTTTCCTCCAGACAGAGGCATGCCCAACGGGAAAGGGTCACCACCAAAGCACTCGGAGCAGACCAACCAGTGCTTAGAGTCTTCAGCAGCGGCACCTATTTTGAACAGCCTTTGGCTAGGGAGCTCACTTGCTTTCTGAGCTAAGTAAGTGACTTGGCCTTCTCACATGTCAAGCGGCCCTGAGAATGTGACCCAGCCTCAGCCGGGAGGGGTGGGGCCGAATCCTGTGACTGACATTCAATGAGGCTATGGACATCCCCTTTGGACTGTGCATGCCAAGTTCCAAATTGAATCTTCTGCTGAACATAGTGAAAGTGTAAAAGAGGCAGCACAAAGTTCAGAGGACACACTTCAGACTGAAAACTAGGACCTAGCCATCCTTTTTGAAACGGGACAAAGGCAAAAGAAATTGATCTGTCACAAACATGAAGGAAGAAATATGCTTTGACAGAACTTAGTGATGTACCATATAGTACAAACCATTACCGCTTACTATAGCGCTCCATGTTTCAAATATCAACACTAAAAATGCATACACTTACCATTACAGTATCAAACTGCAATAAAAAGTGTTAATATGTCTATACAGGATGTGTATACACATTTCAGCAAAACTGCGACAGTGTTAAATTTAGGGTCATCCAGCATCATGTTTTCTTTACGAAGACCTTTTGAATTCAATCAGCGTCTCCTCACAAGACAGTAGCTTTTTAGCGTTACATTATTATTAATGTAGCTTTTTACATAATTATTGATTTTCTGACTGAATGTTTTGTGCAAACTTGATATCTACATCGTCAAAACACCTAAAAAGCAAAGTGCTAAACTTCACAGCCCGTCTTTCAGCTGAACAACAGCATTACCTGACATCTGCAAACGATGTCAGACTCTGTAGCCAGTAAATCGACCACTTTCCCTTTGCCTTCGTCTCCCCACTGAGCGCCGAGAACCACAGTCACCCTGTTTCCGGACTCCGCTCTCGGCCGCTTCACTCCCCCTGCGGGGGGGTTCGTGTAACTCTTGTGGTCGTTCGCTGACCAGCCCGAAGACATGTTGACCGGTCTGGAGTCGAAGCTCGGAGTGAAGCCGTCCTCCAGTCAACACTTCAGTGTTTTTTTTTTCCCCGCCTGTTTTCTGGCAACCCCGCCTTCTGCGGTGGGATTGGCTGGTACTTCAGTAGTTCATTATCACAAACAGAAAGTTTTTGAAGTCAGCGGTTCACTGTGGTGGTGATAGGAATCAGGCGTTGAGATAAGGTTTTAGCCTTAAACATATAGCAAAATCCATTAATGGTGGAGGGGTACATGTACGGCGTTATAAGGCAATATAGTCCCCAAAACTTATTTTTTTCAGATTTAACACTATTTTACCATTATCAACATTACATATAAAAACTAAGAAAACAAGTGTAGATTCACTGGTGTTTTATAGTACATAAAATGGCTATATTTGTGTTGTAGACATCGTGACCCCTGGTTCCTATCATCACCACTGTACAGAAGTCTGCAAGTTTCTCCGCAATGAGACATTTCACATCAAAACACTCTCAATGTCTTCATTTACATCTCAACGATTGAAATATGTAGAAATGTGTGAAATTCTCTTTTAAGTAACTCATAGTACCAACAGGCCTTCAGGGGAGCTTATTAGTACTCCCAACATCTATCAGCACAGGAACTGAAGTTTGTTAGGTGCTATGTTCTCTTATTACTGTACCTGTATGTGTGTATGTATTACTGTATGAAAAAAGATAAAACTCAAAGGTCAGAGGTGTGACCAACAGAATCATATACACAAAAAGGAATTAGTAATTAAAGGTAACTGTATGAGTAAAAAGAGTTTTACTTCAGTATATGTAACTGAGTAAATGTAACTTGTTACCCACCTCTAGGTGGTTCTCAGCTACAGTCCTGTCCTACATAGGCTGTGTCTAAAACGTCATACTGCTATAATATATAATACATATTACACTCTTGAATGGATAGTTGTGTGCTGTCTTTGATCTGCTCATTGGTATGGTAATATGTGTTTTTTGGAAGCAGCCATTCAAGTGCTTCCCGCACCAACACACCTGATCCTGGCTTTAAAGGTCATGATAATTCCTTCATGATCATGTTGAGGAGAGGGAGAGGTAACTAAAACTGTGTAGAGCAGGGGGTCTCCAGGACTGGAGAATACTAGCCTAGTGCACACTAGTGGAGTTCCACCAGTGTTTTAAAATTTCTCCATAATGTAATTGTTGCGATGTAAACAAAGTCATTGAGAGAGTTTTGATCTAAAATAGCAAACAGTTTATTGTAGAGAAACATGACCAACATGCATGTTATGCTAAAAATGGTAAATTAGTTTTAAATCTGGGGAAAAATGTTTGAGGACTGTTTGGTTTTACGATGCCCTGCATGTATCTCTCTGCAATGAATAGCTTTTAACCACTTATGTAATAACATTCTGTGACGTAGATTGTAGAGGCATTAATAGCTTCAGACGTCTGGTTCCTATCACCACCACTGTGAACAGTTCTGACTCTGTATGTTGTTCTACAACAGGTCATTTTACATCAAATCACTCTGAATGACTTTGTTTACATCTTAACCGCTGAAGTAGTCAGACATTCAGAAGACTCAGTGGAATTCCCTTTTATGACCGTAAGTATGGAGATATGGGTTGTATCATTGCAGAACAGGGTAGTTGTGTATGTTCTCTTGATTTTAACAGTCTTAAACAGTATTCCCAAAATAATGTGCTGGAGCCTCATGTTGAATTATGGGATATACAGTGCTGGAGTTTTTAAACACCTCACTTTCACTGCTGGATTGAGAATCGTCCACCAACGAAAACATCTAGCCAACAGTATCCTGTGATCACTGATGAAAGACTAGAGGATGACCAACACAAACTGTCCTGCAACAGATAAGCTATCGTCTCTGACTTTACATCTACAAGGTGGACCAACAAGGTAGGAGTGTCTAATAGAGTGGACAGTGAGTGGACTTAGTGTTTAAAAACTCCAGCAGCACTGCTGTGTCTGATCCACTCGGACCAGTGCAACACACACTAACACACCACCACCATGTCAGTGTCACAGCTGTGCTGAGAATGATCCACCACCTGAATAATACCTGTTCTGTGGTGGTCCTGACCATTGAAGAACAAGGTAAAAGGGGCCTAAGAAAACAGGTAGGCAGAGAAACAGATGGACCAAAGTCTGTAATTGTAGACCTACAAAGTGCATCTATATGGCAAATGGAGCTGATAAAATGGACAACGAGTGGAGAAACAAGGAGGTGGTTTTAACGTTATGGCTGATTGGTCTATATTTGATTCAGGAATGTTTAGTGTGGTCTTAAGAAGTTAATACTCGTACATATCGTAAAGCACATGACCATGCACACATACGCTAAGATGTGAACTTTAGGACCTGCACACTTACACTCACACATACCACTGACATAGTTTGGCATTCAAGTAATTGTGGGACTTTTGGCACAAACTACAGCATAATCACAGCCTCTACACTTCAAACTTTTAAATTCCTGTAAGCAACTTGTATTTTATCATATCACACAAAAACATCTGTGTAATATGTTAGTAAACAATGTACACTGCAAAACTATCTTGACTATCTTGGCAAGTGAGCTGATCTTAAATTTATTTCACAGTCTGAGAGCAATGCAAGAACATCAGAATGCTATTCAACTTCTTTCAAGCTGTTTACTTGTTGCTGCAACAATGCTGCAACAAGCTGAATTATCTGCCAATAGAATAACACACGTTCTATAGAAAACTGAAGTTAATAATCTGATTTTTACAATGACCCATAAATGAGAAGTACTAGATACAGGCTAGAGAGATCATCTTAAATCTAGTCAATACACAGCTATATGCAACTGTTTGAGCGCCCCTGGTCAAATTATGTTTGTTGATCCTCCAAATAAAAATAAGTTAACACATCTTCTACAGAACTTCTGCATATTTCATATTTTGTTTTTTTTTTAATAAATGTTAAACCAATAAATATAAACTGTGCACTAAAATTTGCAGAAAAAAAGACATTTTAGTGTGTTCTCTGTAGAGGATGATGTAATTTACTTTCACTTAGAAAATCAACAAAACATGGAACTTGATCAGGGGTGTTCAAGCTGTTGCACATGACTGTATGAACATGAGCTTTAAGATGATTTCACTTTCCAGGATATTTTTTGCAGTGTACCATCAGCTCAGAATAGCTACCGTGTTCACAGATGATGGACTGCCTCTTTATCTTTGGAATTCTGATAATGAACAGTGCAGTGATTATAGACTTCTGATTTTGATCAGACGGAGTGCAGCATCTGGGTACTTTTTGTTTGCTGTTTGATGGATACTATGGTTTCACATATTGTTCGCAAAAGAAGTGATTTCAGACACAGCCAATCATAACTGAGGTGGAAAAAATAGAGATCCCTCCTCTGGTTGCTTCATCAAGATGTTTAGCTTTGTTTCATGTGCAAGTTGTAGACTACACTACGTCAGATGAGTGCTACAGTTTTGAAATCGGTCAGTTCTTAATTAGTTAATGAAAATGAAGCATGATAAGTATGTAAAACACATTGTATTACTTTCAACAGTTATTCATGCTGTATATTCAACAAGCAGCACAGTAAATACAGGAGTTCATGTACAACACAATAACCACAACACATGCATCTATGACAATCGACTGCTGCCTTTATTTCAATAAGCACTTTGGATCCTCTAAACTAAAATATGTTTCTTAGGTCACATACACTGCCATCATAAATAGTACATGTACATCACTGACAACACAGACAAACGTTATGGCACCACTTTGCCAGGGCGTTTAGCACAAAAGCTAAAGGGCATTTGAGGTGGTCCAGCCTCAATGACTGCTTAATTCAATCCAAGTAAAGACATTCTATGCAAGATTAGTTTATGAGATTCTGGGCTCCAGATTGTAACATGGCGATAATAAATGTCTGAAAAGCCTGTTTCTGTAAATACTATAAAGTTGTTCCAAATTCTTGTTGTGCCTGTATAACTTGAAATATGACACTATATCGAAACAGGTTTTTCACAAAATACTGCATTATTCAATATTTATACATTATTGTATACAGTGAAATCAATCATAGCAACATACACAGTTTATGATGTTAAAGTCTTACATACTGTACTTCCAGTTCATGTCTGGAGTGTGTGTGTCTCAGCCATATGTTAGTGACACTGATAAACTCATTATTGCAATCCACAATTTTTTTTTTTTTTTACATTTGTTTCATGATTAAACTTCTAGAAATATACCTATAAGATATGTAAACAACCATTTAGTAAGTCATTATATTAATATGTACAAATGGATAACTGAAAGTAATATTTGGTCATCTCAACTCTAAAGAGCAAAAGTAAGCATTTCCAAAAATAATCTTTTTCCATTCCAAACTCATTATAGAAATTTCTTGAAAGTGTCTTAACTTCGCAAAAGCTCAGTCTGCTCTTGGTTACTGTTACTCAGCTCAAGCCTTGTTCAGAGTGCTGTGTGCGAACAGTTAAAGGGTGCTAGAAAAGCTGATCACAAAAAAGTCTATTTGATTATCGAGTCTCAGGAGCAAAGCTTCATCTCTTCCCTCTTGTTTTCCTTTTCCTTGTTCTTCCTGCAATGGTAATAAATACAAAAAATAAACTCAAGCAATGAATGCAGCCTGCTGATTAAAATCTACGTTTATCAAGAGAATTAAATATTGCTTATTGATCTGAACATGCAAAAGCTTTTATTGAAATTTGGCAAAATATTTGAATATGCTTTTGCATGTAAAAGTCGATTTCACAAGCAGAGGCAGAAGTGAGTAAATTTCATTTACATTATCTAAGATACCCATCACCACTTTATCAGATTTTTGTTATTTCATTAAGAATGAACTTCTGATCATTTATTATTCTCAGATGAAATCTATTACCCAACATAACATGCGGAAAGGTTCACTGGCAGGGAAAAAGAATCGCTCATATCCACGCATGTCACTCATGTTTTTAATGCATTTATCCTGGTTAGGGCTATCATGACAGCTCTATTAAAACTGATTACTCGATAAAATAAAACAAAAATAAAAAATCTTTAAATAACTTTGAACATTCATTAATAGAGGGCACTCAGCACAGCAATCGCTTCTGCGAGAATCACTGAAAGAGAGGAAACTTGCTCTTACAAGTGCACCTACAGTTTCATGCAAAGGTTTGGTCAACCCTGGCTAAACTACACATTCAATTGATTTTGAAGAGAAAAAAAAACAAATCTTAACAATTCTGTAAATGTCAGCATGCAGTGATTTTATTTCATTATCTTAAAAAAATAAAATTAATACTTGTGGCATGTGCAGAAGTTTGGACACCCTCCCAGTTGTAAAGGCTCAGAACTGAATTAACTCATTAGATGTTTGGACTGTTCAGGCAGTTCAAGAATTGTCAGCTGATGAAAATTCCAGAGCTTCACCAAATCACTTACTCTTTAGACCTCAACCACGGGCTCTTCTAAGCAACTGGCTGAGGATCTGAAAACAAAGCTTATTGATGCCCACAAAGTTTTTTCCACTGTCTAAAATGTCACTAAGAAATGGCAATTAAGGGGAGAGGGGAGCTGTGGAAAGATGGACAACCAAGAAAACTGGTCCCCTGATTTGATATTTGAAAATCTACAGGTAGATCTTAAAACATGCTGTGCATGCAATACAGCACAGGAATATCACAGAACTGGAAGCACTCTGCATACAAGAGAGTGAAGCATCTTAAAACCACAACAGAAAGACTCGCTGGCTACAAAAAGCGTTTACAAGCTGAGATATCTACGAAAGAGGGTGTTAACCAAAGACTTAGTAGGGTCTCCAAACTTTCACACATGCCACAATTACAATTTCTCTATTTTCAAGACTGTCAAATACAAAGTAAAAATACATCTGAATTTGCAGAAAAAAGATATTGTTAAACTGTTTGCTGAAGAGCTTGTGTTCATTTCTTTTGGCCAGGAATGCACAAACACTTGCATACAACCATGTTTGTGGTAACAAATTTCATGTATATGAAGTAAATGTTTAATGTTTTAAATTAAGTGGACAGCTCAGCAGACAGCCAAGAGACTACTCCAATAATATGCATTTAGTCTTTACTGTAAAACAGCAACAACTGTAAATCAAAGAATATGCCAACTGAATGTCCGTTAGAAGCTTCAAATGCATTCAATGTCTGCGTATAAGTAGCACTGCCTGAGTATTAAGTTTTAAGCCCTGGGTGGGAAGTAAATGTACACTACCACTAGCTAGGTGCTAAAAATCTAACCATTATGAATGGAAAGCAGTTCCTTGAAACCATTTTTCAGATCCTTAGGAAAGTATGACAAAGCAGTGTGAGGTTGTCAGAGGATTATATATATATATATATATATATATATATATATATAAAAAAATAGACACCACACAACAGCTTACATTTCCTATTTTGCCTTCATTTTTTGGTATCAGTGATTATTACACAACAATCTTTGAGCAACTAAATGACAATGTTTATATAGTGTTTGTCAGCAATTTGTAAGACCGCTAGTCTTGAAGGCATGAATGATTTAAACATTCTTCACTGCTGCCCCAAGACCAGCTATAGTGGCTGGATTATTTTTCTTCACACATTTCCCAGCATAGACCCACAAGATCTCAATGACTTAAATGGTGCCTGAATTTAACTTAGTGAGCTGTGTGGAATCTTACATTGTCTTGCTGGAATATCCTTCATTTGTTGTGGCTTTTGTAAGTGAACAGACAGGATGACATATCAAAAACAGTATGACATGCGTGCATGTGAGCAGATGTTTTTAACCGCCAGTACAATCTTTCCTTGCAGAGCCTGACAAGATGTTAGGAGAGGCATTGTAGAATGATGACGTCAATAGAAGTTATTGTTGATTCAATAAAAGCCCAGGAAAATAAATCCCCCACAGTCAAAACAGACAGTTATAAGCAATCACACGACCCAGATTGATTTGTGACGCAGACACTACGGTAGACTAGACATCTGATTTAATGATGCAAACAATGCAATACTCAGAAACGTGAGTTATCTCTTGCAGCGACTCCAGATAACTGAAGTTCACGTCAGCAGGCAAAGGTCTTCAGAGGCTTTGAAAAGGTTACAACAGCTTGATTACTCTCGTTTCCACAGACAATGTTAATGGAGTCAGACGACAGCAGGTTAAAAAACACACATCAGTACACAGACAGGCCTTTAGTTAGACACTGAATGGAGTTGGTTATAAAAAGATGGGTTTGGACGCTCATCCATTTGGTCCCTGTTAGTTACACATCGAGCGATGTGACCTACCTTACTGTAACACACAGCCCTGTTTATGCTTACTGTGTCCTTCGCTGTTACCCCCAGCTTAAGAGGGGCAAAGAGAGAGAGACAGACTGAAGGACTGAATGACATTTATTTGTGTCTTTACAAACACCTCAGCATGTTTGTAAAAAATTAAGACTAGATATTATTAGTTTGATGTAAAATCTTCTGGAAAGTGACAAAAACAAAAATATCAATGATGTTAGTTTTACAAATATCTGAGTTGCGAAACCATGGCAAATTTAGAAATCCTCCCTTGGGGGGGTAAATATTTATTTTTAAAAAATAAAGATTTTCTTTTTCTAAATTGCCCCATATTCAGTTTCTACAACCCTAAATATTTGCAACATTTTTAAAAAATAGCACATTAATATCATATACACTTTCAATTTCAGACAGCAATTTTCAAATGCACCATCTTTATTAGGGTCATTAAAATGTGTGAATAGGTTACCTTCATGACTGCTTTTCTTTTTTCCGCGGAGAAGTTTGTGCTGTTTAGGCTGAGTTTTAGGAGGACTGAGGGGGGAGGGGTTATCCTGTGCTTGTGCTCCATCAGGTACATCGTATCCCTGCTGAATTACATTACTGCCAGAAGATGCTTTGTTTCCATTAGTGCCTGCTTGGCCGCTGCTTGAATGTCTCCGTTCATCCTGATCTTGGCTTTTCTGAGGCATTTCACAAATAACCGCACCCTCTCCATTTTCATTTGAGTCAATACAAATGCCAGAATCTACATTCTTTGCATTCCTCAGTGATGTATCAATAGAATTACTGGTGTCTTTAAATTGGCTATTGTTATCATTATGATTATGTGCTGGTACAGCTTTATCTTCTGCTGCAGATGGCTTCAGGGGAGGCACAGGGTTTTGTGCAGAAGAATTCTGCACATCCACAGAAGATGGAGAAATCTGTTGTTGTGGAGCGTCTGCAGAGGCGTTTTCCTCAGTAATGCTTTCAATGGTGACTGACTGTGGTTTTATGTGATCTTCTGAGTGGTCCTGAGCTGGAGGAAGCTCTGCTGGATGCTCCTCTAGTGATGTATGGTTTGGCAGGGTTTTCTCAGTGGAGAGGCCTGCCTGGGACTCTTCCACTCCCTGAGGCTGGAGCTGGGCTTCACTGGCTAAAGTTGCTTCTCCTGGGGGGCTGGTGGAGGAAACGCTGGCTGGATCTTCTGCGCCCATCTCCTTTACCTGAGGAGGAGGAAGGTCCTGGGCCACAGACACCTTGACTCCTTCTGCAGACCTGACACTTGCTGCTAGGGAATGGAAATGAGGAGAAATCAGTTTAAGACAAAACGCAAAGAGCGCAGCCGATGTGAAAATTTGATGCAGCTGCATAAAAAATAAAGGTGTTGTGAAGATTTTACATCAAGCATTCTGGAACAAACAGGACAAAGATATGGACAAAATTGTGTCATGAAGATGGCCAATTATTCAAGCTATACTATGTATTTTTGTCCACTTTTGCACATAATATGTTGTACAGTATGAAAACACATACGTAAGCCTATGTGATTACTTAAAATTTAAAGCGATTTGAAGCATGTGATTTAGACATGCAATATGCACAGTGCTAACTGGTGATGTATTAGCTACACTATATAGCTAGAAGTATCATAATTGTTAAGCTCAAGTGTTTCAGTCACACCCATTAGTAACAAGTGTATAAAATCATGCACATAGTCTATGGAGATTGCAAGACATTGCAAGGCAGTAGAATAACTCATACTGAAGAACTCTTGACCCATCACAATTATCACCATCATATCAAACAAGTCAGTTTGTGAAATTTCTGCCCTGGTCAACTGTGAGTGCTATTACTGTGAAATGGAAGTGTCTAGGAGCAACAGCTTCTTAGCCATGAATTGGAAGACCATGCAGACTCTCAGCGCAGAGCCTCAAGCGAATAAACATCACTTATCCTCTGTTACATCACTCACTACAAAGAGTTTCAAAGTGCCTCTGGAAGCAACATCAGCACAAGAACTGTGCAACGTAAGCTTCATGAAAAGGGTTTTCATTGCCGAGCAGTTAAAAATAACCCTAAGATCACTATGCACAATACCAAGTGTCAGCTGGAGTGGTGTAAAGCATGTCGCCACTGGACTCTGGAGGGTGTGGCAGCTGCAAGGAGAATGCTACCTACCCAAATGCCAAGTAAATTTTGGAGGAGGAAGGATAATGGTCTGGGGCTGTTTTTCATGGTTTGGGCTCAGCCCCTTAGTTCCAGTGAAGGTAATATTAATGCTACAGCATACAAGGACATTTAAAAAAAATATGTATATGCTTCCAGCCTTGTGACCAGTTTGTGAGAAGGTCTTTTTCTGCTCCAGAATGACTGTGTTCCTGTGCACAAAGCGAGGCCCACAAGGACATGGTTTGAAGAGTTTGGTGTGAAGAGCACCACTGGTCTTCACAGAGCCCTGACATCAACCCCACTGAGCACCTTCAGGATGAACTGGAACATCAATTGTGCGCCAGGCCCTCTCACCCAACATCAGTGCCTGACCTTAGAAATACTCTTTTGACTGAATAGGCACAAATTTCCAGACACACTTCAAAACATTGTGGAAAGTGTCTTCAGAAGAGTGGAGGCCAACTCCATGTTAAAGTCCAAGGTTTTGTAACTGGATGTCCAACAAAATCCTATAGATGTAATGTCAGGTGTCCACATACTTTTGGACATATAGTGTACCTTAGCCTTGAAGCTCCAGTGTAAAGCTAAAGAAGGAAACAAAATGTGTTGTTTGATTAACTGGATCTAGGGTAAAGATAGATATTTTGCCATACTACTACTACTACTACTACTACTACTACTACTACTACTTCGAAAGGCCCAGCAAAGTATCTTTCCTCCTTACTCAAAATGTTATGTTAGCAGGAACTGTGATTATCTTCATACTTCTGCTTCAGACCAACATTTATTTAGCATTGCAGAGTTTTTGTATACTGCCCCCTAACCACCATTTAGGAATTACACTTTATTTGGCATGATATTAGACATCACACTACAGCAAATCATAAGCTACCTTATATTGCATGTTCACAAACTGTGAAATGAACTCACCCTCCCACACTTCACACGCTCCGCAACACTATTTCATTATCACTATAGCTACTAGGAGATGGCACTCATTTATAAATGCTCAGTTTTTGGATGCAAGAGTGAAAATGGTCACTCTCTACATTCTATTCCAAATAACAAAATTAAATCAAAATGGATCAAATTTCTTTCAGGCATTGATATGATTTATTGCAGACTCTTAAAAACTGGGCTCAATACAGCTCCAGATCTGCCAGCTGACTGAAGCTAAAAGGAACAGCTTTCCTTACACTTACTGACTTACTAACTTACTTTACAGTTAACAGTAAGAGGCTAAAGTTTGCTTCCTATTTGCCAGCTTATAATGCCTGCTGCACCATTTAGGGTGGAACGCAAAAATTCAGACAGGAAGCTGGCAAATTAGAAGCTGACTTCAGCGTGGTGTTAACAACATAGTTAAAATGCAAAACTTTTGATTAGCTGGCTATCAAACAGAAATCTAAGGTGTAGGCACCTCGGTGTGGCCCAGGCTGGAAAGCGGATCACATAAACACAGCCTCACTTGTATGAATCTGAAGAGGAAGATTCTGAACAAGAACCTGGCCGTAACCTGAAAGTCACAGCCTTGTAGCAGCTTCTCAGTGGTGCTGTTACATTCTGCCTATGCCTGCCAATCCAGACAGTTACTTTTGACGCACGCCCACACAGCAGAATGGTAAAAGGCGACAGAAAAAAAAAAAAATAGGCAACACTCCTTTTAATCTCATTTTTGAGGAAAAAATGAAAAGGTAATTGAAATATATAAATTTACTGCAATTTTTACTTTTCACAGATTTAAAAAACCAACTGTATAGGGCCTTAAACAAAACAGATATTACTAAATATATTCTAACTACAAATACAAAAAAAAAAAAACCTGCGTGATGTGAGCAAAAACACATTTAACTGACCATTATCCTTTAAAGACAAAAACATGTGAGCAAATCATTCACAGATCAGCGCAGCAAAAGCAGCTGTGGCTGGTGGAAAGCAGCAAGATGAAGCAGCAGCACCACCAGGCTATTGGTGGAATGTGGACAGCACAGGCTGCAAAAACTCAAAGTCCAATAGACTGAACACCACATCGCTCTTCATCTCCTTCTCAAAATCACAAACAGCCAGTTGAATCACTGCCATGGTGTGTGAACACCATCTAGTTAATACTACAAGAAGTAATAATGAAGTAAAGGAGATGAAAAGAGGAAGCAGCTACAGACATTTGGACTAAAGCCATGGTGGAGGGCTTGGAGTTGTCTTTTCCTTACCAGGCTGCCCGGTATCCTTACGTATTTCACTAGAGGGGGCACTTTCCGTTTCGCACCTGGGCCGGGTCTTTCTAAGATGAAAGCCCTTTCTGATGTCCGCCAGCAGGTGGTCAATAATACAGCCGTCCTCCTGCGGTAAAGCACCTCTTCTGACTGGAAGGACAGAACAAATAAAAGGCTATAGTCAGTTCATGTTGGAATATAATCTATGTGTGAGTCTGCTAGTGTGAAACCATCTTTGATTGATTTCTTTGAGTTAAAAATGGCTATTCTTCAGTGAGAAAATTTTGTATTCTTTTTCAATATGTTCTATTGAAACAAACTGTCATTCCATTTTCTCTTTTTAAACTTAATTTATAGTACAATGACCATTAATTATCCAGGAACTGATATTGACCTTCATTTTCACCTAATGGCTTAATTTAATTTATAAACAGTGTATGAGCTTAAAAAGTCAACACGTATCATTTCAGTTAAAGCAGAGGCAATCAACTCCAGACCTCTGGTCCAGGATTTTGTAGCCACTGGTAGTTCATTTATGCAACAGAACAGGAGCTCCCAGCTACAGTCCTGCTTCAAGCTTTCCATCAACACAAGTCAGTCAACCCATGCAGTGACCAATCAGTCATGTCAATGGTTTGATAACTACCAGTGAGTATAAAATCCAGGGCCATAAATCACTTCAATTGAATACCTCTTTATTAAAGAAATTGGCCTACTTCTTTTCAATAAAATGTCATATGTTTATTAAAGTACTTTTAGCCACATCTACAGAAAATTAAAAGCTGTATTTCCATTTGAGACTAGACAGTGTCAGACTAGAGACAGGTTCAGTGACCACTCACTGATCTTGCCATTCTCTCCTTTCTGTCTCTTGGATTCCTCTTCTGCCAACTGCTGCTTTCTCTTCTCCGCTTTGGCAGCCTGCTCTTTACGGATCTTGTTCTCCTGCAACAGAAAAACAAACCAACCAGCAGAGATGTCAGCATGAGAGAAGGGAGGAGGAAGCTATTTTAGCTATCATGAACTAAGAATGACCAAGTATGACCCATTTAACAACCCACAGATACTGCCAGTCAACTCGCACATGATTTGGATTACTGCATAATTTCGTAAAGGATGCTGAACATCAGATCTGCATAGAACAGACCAAACAGATCAATTACCTTCAAGGCTTTGATGAAGAGCCCTCGGAATGTCTTAATGGTGCCAAAGAGTTCTTCTAATGATAGTTGGGCTGTATCTTCACACAGATACTCAGCCAGTTTCACCTTCTTACTCTCTATATCAACAAGGCGATCCTCCAAAGTTTTACATGCCTGAAGGTTCTCCTGTTAAAAAAAAAAGAAAACAAGAATTGTTGTGGAAGCTCTTATGGGGACCTCACACTGACACAGTGAAATTTACCTGAACCTATAAACTTTATTTTAAAGTATTATTTTAAGATAAAACTGTGTCTTCAAATGAGGTCAAATTCAAAAACTATTCCTTATATCACTCGAAAAAACTATTAAGATAATCCAACAATGAATAAATGATCCAATTTAATAATAGTAATTCTTTGTACTCCAACAAATAGGAAGAAATTCCTCAGGGAAAAAAAAAAGTAAATATTTAATCATGTTAATATTTGTAACACACCTCAAGAACACTCAAAAACTGCTCTTTAACGTCTTGAACTGACGAGGAGACTTTTTTCTCAGTGTCCCTTAAACGCTTGGACAGTGCACTTGCCTCAGACTGAACAGATTCCAGGTTTATTCTGGAACAGAAGCAGAACTAGTCTTAGATCAAACAAAAGAACAAGACAATAGCTAGAAGGCTTGTACTGTATTCACCCTGCTGCTTTTTCACAGCTCTCGATGTCATCTGGCAGCTTCAGCAGCTCAGGGTGGTTAAGCTCCGCTTCCTGGAATCACAAAATCCATCAAATTTCACAACACATTCCTCTAAATAAGTCATCTCTAATTGCTCTGGATCATGATGTTAACACTTCATCTCACTTCTGCTTAAGGCCTCTGTCAACAGAGATCAATTACATTTAGTTCCATGTGATGCTGAATAAAGATAAAACACAGATTACTTTATTTGGGAATAGCAATGGGAGGCATAGACTAGCTGCCTCTGTGGACTTGAAAGCCTTAAAATTTAAAGGACTAGGACGTCACCTTGTTGTACAATTGGACTTGGATCTCAGTTTTAGCAGTCATGACAAAGCAGTCACTAAATCAGCAATTTATCAACTTAAGAACATCAAGATCAGAGACAAAACCAGACCTGGATTCATGCCTTTATTTCTAGCAGGATTGATTACTGCAATGGTCTCCTAACTGGACTCCCAAAAAAGACAACCAAACAGCTTCAGCTGATTCAAAATGCAGCTGCTAGAGACTCACTATGAGTAAAAGAAGAGAACACATCACCCCTATTCTTAACTCCTCACACAGGCTAATAAGTTACAGAACAGAGTTTAAGGTACCATTACTAGTTTATAATTTGCTCAGTGTTGTAGGAGCAGAGTATTTATCTGATATGCTGCAGCGATATGAGCTGAGCAGAACTCTCAGATCATTAGGAAGTAGTCAGTTGGTCCTGCCAAAGGTGAAGACTAAACATGGAAACGCTGCTCTTAAATGGAACCAACTGACAGAGAGCATTAGAAAAGCCCCGACAGCAGACACATCTAAATGCATGCTTAAAATGTTCTTAATTGCACTACTGCACTTCATTAATCTAATTTCATTTATATCTGGCTTTTTAATTTCAGTGATTCTTTCAGTGATTCTTTAAAAATCTACTGTTTCTAATTTCTATTCTCCTTTATTTTGAGTTATCTTTGTATTTCATTATTTGTAAAGCACTTTGTATGACCACGGTGTATAAAGGGTGCTATACAGATAAACTTGCCTTGCTTATCAAAGTAATTCAGTATTACACAATTAGAGTGCTTGTGTGATAAGTAAGTAAATAAATACATTTAGAAATAAATTACGCATTTTTCATTTATTGCAAATATAATCCATCAGCCAAAACATATTTGGTGTCTTACATTTCCTTTAGTTTTCCCCTGGTTCTACGAAGCTAAAGGAAGAAACCAAAGGTGTTTGATTAACTGGATATAGGGTAAGGATAAAGGATAAATATTTTGCTATACTACTGCTTCAACAAAATATGTATATTGTTAAAAAAAATTAACAATTACAAATACTTAGTTTTTTTTATAGTATAAAATAGTATACTGCCATACTAAATACTAGGGGTGCGGGAAATAAATCAATTCTTAGATGCATCGCGATGCGGATGTGAACGATTCTGAATCGATTCACAAATGTCAAAAATCGATTTTCTAAACATTTAACTCGGAACTTGGAAGTGGGTAAGTGTAGCACCTGGACAGTCTGTAACGTGTACATAACAAAAACACCACTGGATGAGTGAGAAATCCGACCGGCTCCCTCTGCATTAAAAGCCAGGTTAGATCAGAAGTCACAACACAAATGTTAAGAAGAGCCATTTTGTCCTTTCAACAAAAATCAAACCACCTTGGGAGCCACAACATTTAATGTCCAGTACGTCTCAGTATGTGCTGATCTCCTAGCATAGGCTAAAAATATAAACGAGAGCGCAGACTTAGTTCGCTCTGCTTTAACCTTTAGCTATAGCCACTTTCCTCCCATCTCCGCCAGAAAACTTTTACTCAAAAGTAGATCGGCTTATTGTAAAATGTCTCTCAGCGTTCGACTGTTTTACGAGGCTGAAGTCACTCCGTTCCACCTTAAATTCTGCCTTAGGCGCCGGATGTAAATGCGGCACCATTTAAGCTGGAACGGGACAATTCGAAAGAGAAGCGACTTCATCTTCGCAACTTTTTAGTGTTTCACAGTCTCTCGTTGCAGATTTAACGTACCAGGAAACCAACTGCGCTGCTTATAAATGCGAATAATGCATTGTTTCAAAGTGACCTGCAGTCTGCATGCCAATTCTCAGTCGTTGCGAAACATGGCTTTCGCACCATGTTGCACACGTCCCATCATGTGCTGCGTGGACATCCACTACCACTGGATCTTATTTCACCGCAACTGCGCATTTTATCGCAGATGAGTGGCAGCAGCGTCTCAAGTGCACCAAACCAGAGCAGTGAATGAGAGCCTTCCAGTTCATGTCACATCACGTCCATTTGATTTATTAATAAAAGATACTGGAAGTAAATTCATTATGGATCATTACAAATACTTTGCTTTAAAAGTATCACTGCCAAAAACTGAGTGAGGAAAAATACACATTTAAATGATCATTATCCTTTAAAGACAAAAATTAAGGAAATCATTCACAGATAAGTGCAACAAAAGCAGCTGTGACTGGTGGGAAGCAGTGCATTAAAAATAAATAAATAAATAAAATATTCATTCAATTTTTCATCTATTGCAAATGTAACCAGCAACCAAAACACTTCTGGTATTTCCTTTAGTTTTGCCCTGGATCGACGAGGGTAATGCAGGCTTACAAGTATTAGAAACTTATATACCACCAATTAGCACCGTGTATGCCTACATCACAAACGTGACTCAAACCGCAATGAGCCGTTAAGAACCACATTGTGTTTCTGTGGTTTCTGACACTGAATGACAATATTCTTTATAAGAAATGAACAAAAGTACATTACATAGCTAAAAACAGTACTGGCACTAGCACTGGGCAGTATACTGGTTTAGCTGGTATACTAGCTCAAAATCTTTGTTAAAATATTAGTTTTTGTCATAACATTCCAGTATGCCACAAAAAAGCACAGATAACGATGTACAAAGTGTGCAAACTACGCTAACGTGAACAAGGTCAGCTAAATGACTGACTCATGGATGTCCCAGTCACATTTCAATAGAAAATCTAAATGCAACAGCCTCCCAGTCACCTTCTGCTGTCCAGTCCGTTGCATCTTAAGTAGACCACATTGTTTTCAAGGCATAAAGGAACAGCTGGTGGTTTTGGGTAAGCCTTAGCCTAACATGGACACCAGATCAATTGCTGGGCTTCTCCTCATACCGCCTGAGAAGCCACCTGACTAAGACTTGAGCAACAAAACATGAACCAGCTGGTACTAAAGTGTGTATGACTAATTTTTCATATTCCAGCAGTGTCTGACAAACATATGAAACAAATGACTTCAGAAAATTCGGCAAAGCTGAAGTTGGCTTGTTATTCAAATTTGGCATTCCACCTTAAATGGTGCAGCAAAACATTCAGGCACTTGTACAGGTCCCATAACGCACAGCTGCAGCATTTTAGGTGAAACAGAAAATGCAAGTAAAAATTCTGCTGATTAAGAAGCCAACTGCAGGCTTCAGGAAATTCATACATGAAACAACATTTAGCACTGTTTCTGCTAGGGGGTAGTGTTAGAAAGCACTACTGACACAGGTTCATCTACATATCGTTTAGCGTTTACTATTTTGCACCATAAATTATTTAAGATATACTTTGGCTGTTCAAAATGATTCTTATTAAAATGTGAAGAGACATCTGAGGATAATCCACTGCAACCTACAAAAACAGGTTTACTTAATACAAATACTGTTTTGCAGAATGGCAGACATTTTAAATATTCTGTGAAAGACATCATGGCCGCACCACCCGATACTAACTTAACATATTCTGATTTAAGCATGCAGTTTGCACAATGTTAAACTCATTGGTGTAAGTTTCTTTTACATGTTAGTGATTTTAGCCTTGTAGCTCAAGAGCAAAAATAAGATGTCTGGAGATGTTTTGGCTGATTGACTATATTTGTGGTACGAGCAAATAGAGTAAATAAGTTTTTGTTCACCCAACAAATAAAACAAACCAGTTCTACCAATTCCTAAAAAGGACTAAGAATGCCCAAATGTTACGCGTGTTGCTTTGCAGTACCTCAAGAATGTGATGCAAGAGCGTGATGCGACCCTTGTTGGATTTGGTCTCTGTCAGCTTCAGGAGCGAGCTAATCTTGAATCCTTCAGCATTTCCAGTATGACTTCCCTAGCCAAATAAGGAGAAACACACTTGGTTGGCTAGCATGACAAACAGTACGACCCTTACAGCCATATTATAGTCCTGTAAACAGATATGTTTACTCATACAACAAAATTTCGATGTAACATTACAACTCACAATGTAACTAATATAATAAACCAGTAGCTCAGTAGCCTGAAAATCAGACCTACCCCCTCATTGAAAGCCTGATTTTTATCATAATGTATAATATTCTTACATAGTTAAGGAAGTTCCCAACATGAAGGATGAGCTTGCAAAAGCTGGGCAGTAGAGTGCTCTCTCTGAGACCTGCAGGGGGCGACAGACACCAAATTCCTCTCAAGACCAACTCTAAAATACAAGGCTATATTCCGATTATATAACACTGAGATACTGCAGCATTCTAAGAATCAGACACGAGGGGTGTCAAATCTGGGCATGGAAGGCTAAGTCCAGAGGTTTTGTGATTCCCTGGTCGAACACACCTGCTCAACCTGAATTAGGTAAGAAAAGGAAAACCGTTTTGGACTCCAGCCTTCCATTACTAGAGCTGGACAACCCTGGTGTACAAGATCACATTTGCAGTTTAGGGAAATCTCTGCCACGAGCATTTAACTACTGAAGATATGCAGCTGATCAAGTTATTACTTCCCTCTCCAGCACTCAGACTTGATTTCAAGATGACTCAGCCATTTAGTTTTCACCAACTGGATATCAGTCATGAGTATTCAGAGCTATTCATGGGGGAGGGCTATATTTGATGGACAGATCAATTTTCCTGTTTCTGGCAGCAGTATGTCAAAATATTGACTTAGTTTCTCTAAATCACTACTTTTCACAAAATTGACAGAATTTTAAAATAATGACCGTTCTGAAATAAAGACAATTTTTTTAAAGGCAAGTAATTATTTTGGGATAATAAGCCATTATTTTGACACAGCAAGTCATTTTTGAGATACTAAGTCATTATTTTGAGATACTAAGTTATTATTTTGAGATATTAAATCAATATTTTTTCATAGTCGCTTGAGAAATCAAATTGAGAAAAGCCAGTATTTCAAGATACTAAGTCAATTTTTTTTAAATAACAATGACCTTGTCATCGACAATGACATTATTCTGACATGGTATCTCAAAATAATAACCTACTAAGTCATTATTTCAAGAAAAAGACAAACATCAATTTTTTGGCCTACTGCTGCCAGAAACAATAAGAAAGGAAAGGAAAAAACAAATTAACAAATATCTCTACCTGGCAGAATTGGACTTTCAAACATACTTGGTCAATAGGACTGCCTTCTTTTGAAAATCTTATGGGAGGGAGACTCGTGTAGAATAATCAGCACCTCTCTATATATAGATCTATTTAAACAGGCCTATCTCTCTCTTTGTGTGAGTGTGTGCGTGTTTGTGAGGGGGAGAGAAATCAGCTCCTCTAAATTCTCAAATTCACCTCTGTCCACCCACCCTCAAGAGCCATTAATCTATTAAGAATGTGCTTCTTTTCGTTATGCAGGCAATGAGAATTCTATGAGAAAGAATGCAGCTTTTGTCAAGACTGATAACAGTGCAGCAGCTTATCATCAGGCTGCACATAGCATGTCTACAAACCACAGAGAGGAACTTTTTGGTAAAAAAATTCAGTGACCCTGAAGTTGTCCATTCTACAGTTCGCAGCAGGAGAGACAAAGGAGTAGCTGTACTAAATGCTTTCAGGCTAAACTCTTCAGATGCTTTCACTAAGCGAGTGAGGCTGAGTCAGCTGCCTCGACTGTGGAAAAAGCAATCAGGGTGGAGAAACACAGCTAAGGCCAAAACTCCCACGCAACGCCACGGCTCACACTCACTCTCGCATGCCGCCTCCACCAGCTCCGCTTTAGGCTTCAGCATCTCCAGCACAGAAGCAGTCTCTTCACACAGCAACATGCACTCGATCCTCAGCTGGTAGCTGAGTGTGTGTGTGTGTGTGTGTGTGTGTGTGTGTGTGTGTGTGAGTGTGTGTGTGTGTGTGTGAGAGAGAGAGAGAGAGAGAGAGAGAGAGAGAGAGAAAAAAAAAAAAAAAAAAACACACGAGGGTCAACATTAATGGACCTTTTAACCATGTTCACTTTCTATTAGTACTGCAAAACAGACTGGCTGACTTTACAGCTCCTGCTTATCGTAATGCTGCATCAAATATGAGCCATTACCAGGGAACAGCAAGGAGGGAGAGGTAAAATCGATCGACGTTGGCAAGTTTCTCATGATCTCCCTGGAAGGAGTTCAAGTTGTCGATCTGCAAGAAACACAGAAAAAAAAGAGGCTGCCAGGGAAACACTTGTTCAAACTAAAATTAGCTACTTCAACTACCTTTCCCAATTTAATTTCATAATTTTATGTCAGCAATGCGTGACCAACCTCATGTTTCTCTGGAAGAAGCTTCAGAAGCTGCTTTAACACCTCAACATCAAATTTGGAACGATCTCCTTTCTGAATCATGGCCACAAACTCCTCATTAGAGCTGTTTGAAGGGTTGAAGGGATTAGCAATGGATTAGCAATAAAGAGCAAGATATTCCACTGGCAAGAGTCCATCTCCATGTTAATCAGCTTAAAACCTGGCTAGCTTACCATTTGAACTGCTTGAGATATATATTCAGATTCAAATTCTTCTTGGGATCAATAAAGGTAATCTACAAGAAAGTAAACATATAAATTAAGTACACCGTCAATTTAAATACTACTTTCAGAACGCTATCTGTCTGGCTAAGAAAGATCCCACAAACCTCTTTGGGTTCCTTCTTGACAGGAGCAACTGGGCTTTTGTCTTTGGGCTCAGCCACTGGGAGACTGAAGAGCTGCTCAATGCTGGTGTAATTGGGCTCCAGAGGGTGGTCAGCCTGCACTGAGGCCCAAATACAGCAACCATCTATAACAGAAAGGAGACAACATTTGAGACACACAATGTAAAATGACCTGCAGTAAAGGGCTGGAGTATATCTTTGCATGTGCAAATCTGCAAACATCTGTAGGCATGGTCAGTTGTGCATGTGCAAACATTCTATACAAAATTGTGATTTGTACATTTGGGCGCAGTGCCCAAAAACTGCTTCACTGATGCGCTCCTGGGGCTATTACAAGTGTCTTTTTTGCTATCGTTCATGTTAATAAAGTCGCTGTTATAGGGCTGGGCGATAAAACGATAACAATTATCGCGATATCCTTGATAGAGCGATAAGAAATGTTTGATAAATTTTCAATGTAATACACCATTTTCACACTTCCACATTCTAGCGTGAGCCCTGGTGGCGTTTCTTACTGCAAAGAAAGCGACACTACTCTGCTGCCGCCAGGAGAGGGCACACTTCCGAGTTTTTCGGTATGATTAGAGAGGGAGGGGTGCGACAAGTAAAATGAGTCTTTAGCAACAGCTGAAATGTGGAGTTATACATTCCCTGTTTGAGTGGAGCGACCGGCGATCTGTTCTCCTGTGACCAAGTGTGAGTGACGAGGTCAGTGGCGTAACTGTACTGGCCTAGAGTGAACTCATCTCTTTCCGTACATCCTAACCAGCTTTAGCAGCGCTAAATCACGTCTGCTCATCACAACTACAGCGCTGTTATAGCGCTAAACAGTCATATTTTAGTATTAGGGCATTTCCCAGGCAACGAAAGTGAAAGACAGACGTGGATTCATGCAAGTTACAGCACTGATTTAAACGAAAGTAAACTGAGGAAGCTGTGAGGCACTGGAAAGCGGGAGAAGGCTAGCTGTTTTTAGCAGCTGGCTAACTTGAAGCAGCGCTCTGTCACTCGCACAACACGGCGAACTGATGATACTGTAGATCAGACAAGACAAAAGCACCGATTTCAGCTTAAATGTAGCTAAAAGGAGGACTCTGTCTGGTGTTAGATATATTGTTGTTCACCCCTCAGATTAATACAGAGAAATCCAGACGTCTGCTATAAACGGTGAATCATCTGTTCTCACAAAAGTAAAATATGGTGTTCCACAAGGCTCTGTTCTAGGACCTGTATTATTCACTTTATATATGCTACCACTGGGCACCATTATCAGTAGACACGGCATAAACTTCCACTGCTATGCCGATGACACTCAGTTATATTTAGCAAGCGACCCAGATGATAGAATTAAACTTAGCAAGATTGAAGACTGTATACAAGACATAAAGGACTGGATGTCGAGTAACTTTCTCCTTCTAAACTCAGATAAAACAGAGGTTCTGCTTCTTGGTCCAAAAGCAGCCAGAAACAAACTGTCTAATTTAACACTTAAACTTAACAATTTCTCAGTTGCATCAAGCTCATATGTAAAAAACCTTGGTGTCATTATAGACCCAGATCTGTCCTTCGACACACATATAACTAATATTACTAGAACAGCCTTCCTGCATCTTCGCAATATTGCTAAATTGAGAAATGCATTATCTCTACAGGATGCAGAAAAGTTAGTTCATGCATTTATTACCTCAAGGCTAGATTACTGTAATGCCCTGCTGGCTGGATGTCCCAGCAAAAGCATTAACAAGCTTCAGCTAGTCCAGAATGCTGCAGCCAGAGTTCTTACTAGAACCAGAAAGTTTGACCATATCAGCCCAGTTTTATCAGCCTTACACTGGTTGCCAGTAAAATTTCGGATTGATTATAAAATTCTCTTGCTGACTTATAAAGCACTAAACGGACTCGCCCCTCTGTACCTGAGTGAACTTCTCTCTCACTATGAACCATCCCGCCTACTTAGATCACAAGGTGCTGGCTTACTATTAGTACCCAGAATTAATAAAGTTACGTCAGGGGGGAGAGCTTTCTCATACAAAGCCCCCCAGCTTTGGAATAGTCTTCCTGTTAATGTTCGGGACTCAGACACAGCCTCAGTCTTTAAGTCTAGGCTAAAAACCTACTTGTATATTCAAGCCTTTGGTAATTAGTTTTCCCTGTTAGTTCTATACCTGCCAGAGTCTCTGCTAACACTGTAATTTGTGATCGGTCACCCATTACAGAACTGACTCTGTGTGTTTTCCTCTCTGTGTGTTTTCCTTTCTTTTCTTCGCCGAGTTGAACAGCTGCCCATCCTGTGCGTTCTGATGCTGCTGCCTTTTCTGCCTCGATCGGGTGCCACTGCTCGCCAGCCCTCTGGACCGGGTTACCAACATTGAGCCTCCTGCTGTTCAACGCTGTGCAAACCTCACCCTCACAACCTGACCCCACTGATACTACTGCTGTTGCTGCATGAACTATTCAAAATTATTCACTTGAACCAATCAATCATTCAAACTAATTCAAATTAATCAATCACCCATTGACTGTGTTTTTCCTCTCTTTCTTTTGCCGAGTTGAACAGCTGCCCATCCTGCTGCTGATGCTGCTGCCTCTGCTGCCTTGATCGGGTGCCACTGCTCACCGTGCAAACCTCACCCTCACAACCTGACCCCACTGATGCTGCTGCTTCTGCTGCATGAACTGAACTATTCAAATTAATTGTTTCCTTCACGTTTTACCCTGTTTTTTGTACTATAATACTTTATACTAACAATGTTTACTATCCGGTGTCGACCAGAGGAGGATGGGTTCCCCTTCTGAGTCCTGGTTCCTCTCAAGGTTTCTTCCTGTTTCTCTTAGGGAGTTTTTCCTTGCCACTGTCGCCACTGGCTTGCTCATGGGGGCTCGGACCCGGACTTCTTTTTGTAATGCTCATTTCCTTGTAAAGCTGCTTTGTGACAACACCTGTTGTAAAAAGCGCTATATAAATAAACTTTACTTACTTACTTACTTACTTACTGCTAGCTGGTGTTTGAATACATGGATGTGGTAGGAGTGACGCCAGTAAGGAGGTGTGATACATCACTGATGTACCGAGCCAGCTAACGTTTGCTGTCCGTACTAAGTTGACGTTGTTGAGAAACTAAACAGTTTAGCACTGTTATTGGCCACTTGTTTAGAATTTGTAACGGGATAGCCCAGCAATCGTCACCAGACAGCTAAAAATATCTTTTCTTTCTTAAATTATGACTACTACAAAAACTGCGGCTGTGCTTTTCCAGCTGATAAAAACAGCTCAGCAGACACTTTCTCCCACTCTCCCATGACAGATTTGTGAAATGTTCCATCAGTTGGCGAGTGTTTGTCGTGTTCTGACCATAAAGGATAGTTCAAAACAGCAATTAACCACCCAGGAGCAAAAAATCAGCCTCAACCTTTAAAGAAATAATGATTTGACATTTATCGTGATATGTATTGATATTGAACGATATGAATTTTGTTTACTGTGATGACATTTTTGGCCATATCGCCCAGCTCTACGCTGTTATAATCAAAACTAGATATCTGCATGCATTCTATCAAAGTAAAGTAGTGGTGGCAGACATTGCAAAATTGAGAACTCGCATTAAAATGTACTCTGTAGAACGACATTTGTAACACAAAATATCAAAACACAAATGAAAAAAAATTCAAACCAAAATAGTCAGCTGTACATCTACAGATTTACAGTGTCTCCAATACAGCATCCTCACCAGTGACTGCTCTGGAGTTTAGTTTCTGCCAGTTGAGCTTCTTCATCCTGAGCGTGGGATAAGGACCAGTCTTCACCGGTGCAGAGTAAGCCCTCCCCAGAGTCTGAACATTGTGAGCTACTATTATGTCCCCCATTCCTGTCAAAGGAGGAGGGGGAGGTGGGCCAGGCATACCAGGGAGGGGAGGTGGTGGTGGAGGTCCTCCAGGACCCATCCCAGGTAATGGTGGAGGCGGTGGAGGTACTCCCATGCCTGGTAAAGGTGGAGGTGGTGGGGGTACACCCATTCCTGGTAAAGGTGGTGGTGGGGGAGGCATAGGAACACCCATACCTGGTAAAGGAGGCGGGGGTGGTGGTAGAGGTCCTCCAGGACCCATCCCAGGAAGCGGTGGTGGAGGGGGCGGGACTCCCATTCCAGGCAAAGGAGGTGCCGGAGGTGCATGCAGTGGAGCAGCCATGCCAGGCAGTGGAGGTGGAGGTGGGGGAGGTGGAGGAGGAGGAGGTGCAGTTGTGCATGGCTTCTGTGTGGCGCTCACGGCTGATGCCTGGTCAGTCGTGGGTAATTTGTTTAAACGTTCTTTCTCGTCAATCAGCTCAGTCTGAACTGCTTTGTCCTTGTGTGGATAGCTATTTACATGATGAGAGCCAGTGCCTTGCTCTTTGGAAGAGACAAGCCGTTGCGTGATCTTTTCAGAGGAGTCCATTTGAGCTAGAAAACAATTATACATTTACTACAGAATTTACTTTGTACACTTTTGGTCTGGGTGTAAATCAGTGGTCCACAAATATGTGCACAATGGCCTTTTGGTGCCTGTAGCATATTCTTATCATACCTGCTAAGTCTAACTGAATACAAGGTAATTTAGAATATAACAAAAACTACCATAAACAATCTGCATGTAAATCCCACTTGAGACTATACAAAACCATCCACAAAAAAATGCATGTAATGAAGTCAACTAAGAACACTCAGTAAAATTGGCCCTGAATTCAATAAAAAATAAGGACTCTCCAGACTGTCAAATAACTTGAATTCTGAATAGGTTTTGACAGTTCACTCACAGTTCTGGGCCAGTAGGACAGCACGGTTAGTGAGAGCCTCCAGGGCCTGCCAAATATCAGCGCGCTCAGGTCCCAACAGCAACAAAGTCTGCAGGATGGACAACAGCTGCAGCGAGGCAGGGGAGCTACTCACCTTCAGGGCGCCAAAGAGAGTGGGACAAAGCACTGAGTTCACAACAGTACCTTGCACATCTACATTTACAACCTCTAGAATGACACGGTTCATGGAGTCTTTCACACCAAATTACACATGATTTCAGGCCTCATTTAACACTTTGTTTGAAGCATGACTTACACATTTTGCAGGGAGCTGCCAATTGCAACATCCACTGCAACTGATCTAAACAAACTGGCCTCAGTCAAACAGGAATTTAATCAGTGCACAGTGGCAGCGTAAAAAAAATAAAAACACTGAGAGCATTAACATTTTCAATGACCAAACAAATTCTATCATATTTCATTTTCAAGAATCAAAGCTAAAAGCAACATGAAATTATTTTATTGTATTAAATACAATCCAACAGTTTCAGGAAAGCCACTGCTGAAATAGTTAATTTAACCTGCCTTTATATCAGTTTTACCAGTAGTAGTGGACAGGTCCAGAATATTTAGATTGTTGTTACTGGCATAGCTGTACATATAGTGTTACTGATAATATAATGAGCTCTAAATACAAGTTTGCTTATTGCAGCAATCCAGGACCAGCTTAACAATGTCCAGATACTAATTTTAACTAGTAAAAAAGCTACGTATTGGCAAGTGAAAACATCTTAAATCTAGTTGGTACAGTACTGTGCAGAGGTCAGAGATCAATGTTTGTGAAAAACAGGAGTTTCCAAAACTGGACATTAAAAAATTTTTAAAAGATAGAAGAGAAAATGGGACGACTCTAACAACCATGCAATACCCGGTAGACCACGGAAATTATAAACGTCGGATAAACAGTACTTAAAGTTTTCATCTTTGAAAAAATCAAGCTCCACTTTTGTTTCAGATTTGAAAAAATCCACAGGTGTTTCTGTCCATCCTTCCACTGTGAGAAGACAACACAACACTATGAGTCTGAAAGGATGTGAAGCTGTCAAGAAGCCATTACTGAGAAAAAGAAAGACAAAAAAGAAGTACATTAGTTAGGGGTGGGAATCTCTAGGCACCTCACGATTCGATTACGATTCAGAGCGCTGCGATGCGATTATAAAACGATTATCGATCATCTCAATTCCTCCTTTTTTTCTATAGTGTTTCTATTTTCTTACTGTCTGAGGACTTGGTACTTTTAAAATAAAGTATTTGTAATGATCCATAATGAATTTACATCCAATATCTATTATTAATAAATCAAATGGAAGTGATGTGGCAAGTGAACTGGAAGGCTCTCATTCAGTTCTCTGGTTTGGAGCACATGACACGCTGCTGCCACTCATCTGCGATGAAATGCGCTGTTACGGTGAAATAAGATCCAGTGGTAATGGATGACCACGCAGCATGTTAAAGCTTTCCTACCCGTTTAATTCAGTGATTTTATAACTTCGGTTTTGGTTTCGTTGCAGAGACGGGGAGGTGGGGGTCGGGGCGGCTCGCTGTGTCAGTAATATATCTTCGAGACGGGTCGTGTGCAACATAGCGTGAAAGCCCTGTTTCACAACGTGCAGACTGCAGGTCACATAGCAACGATGCGTTATTCGCATTTATAAGCAGCGCAGTTGGTTTCCTGGTACGTTAAATCTGCATCGAGAGACTGTGAAACACTAAAAAGTTGCGAAGATGAAGTCGCTTCTCTTTCAAATTCTCCCGTTCCACCTTAAATGGTGCAGCAGTTACATTCAGCATCTCAGTCAGAATTTAAGGTGGAACGGGAAAATTCGAACAAGAAGCTGGAGAATGAGAAGCGACTTCAGCCTCATAAAACAGTCGAACGATGAGACATTTTAGAAGAAACCATTGAACTTTTAAGGAAAAGGGCGCTCACGTTTATATTGTTTAGCCTATACTAGGACATTATCACATACTGGACATTAAATGTCGTGGCTCCCAAGGTGGTTTGATTTTTGTTGAAAGGACAAAATGGCTCTTCTTAACATTTGGGTTGTGACTCCTGATCTAACCTGGCTTTTAATGCAGAGGGAGCTGGTCGGATTTCTCGCTCATCCAGTTGTGTTTTTGTTGTGTGCCACCACAGACCGTCCGGGCGCTGCACTTACCCACTTCCAAGTTCTGCCTTTTGTGTTCCGTCAACATTACGTTATAAATTAAATATTTAGAAAATCGATTTTTGACATTTGTGAATCGATTCAGAATCGTTCACGTCCGCATCGCGATGCATCTAAGAATCTATTTTTTCCCGCACCCCTAACATTGGTAAAACAAAAAGAAGCTTCTGGAGGTCTCGGAACATGGACTGACCACCCCAGAGTCCAGACCTCAGCATCACTGAATATGTTTGGGGTTACTTGGATCGTGAGAAATAGCAAATGAAACCAACACCTCTGCTGATTTGTTTGAAAAACTGAAAGCAAGCCTCCTGGAAAAAATAGAAGCTTTAATAAAAGCAAAGTGTGGATATATTAAAAACTGAAAAAAATTATATTACATATAGATGTCAAGGCCTCTGTCTACCTTTTGGAAATATGTGTTTTCCGATTTTTTTTTTCTGATGCAGAAAAACTACCAACTTGTACTTAACAGTCATTTTGAATGGAAATGAAATAAAGGGTGATCTCTGACTTCTGGACAGTACTCTATATACATCGCTCCCATTTTGGGATTGTTGTAAAAATTTTGTAAGACTAATCTATTCCTAGATTTTTTTTATTTTACTAGGTGTTTTTTAATTTTACTTGTTTCAAGCATTATTTATTAAACAATATTATCTGCACTACTGCATCTTGAGAAAAGCAAAAATACCAATATAATAAGACAAAATCACTTAACAAGTACAAACATTTAGAAATAGGTTGAATAAACTTGTAATGTTTTTACAAACCCACATAATGTAAAATATTAGATATACTGAGTAGATTTGAGGTGTTTTCACTTGCCAAAATATGCAGTGTAAAACCATCTTCCATCAAAACGAGGGAACATGCAGGTCTGAATCTACAGAGCTTCTTCATCTAGAAGCTGATAAAGAGGAGCAAGAAGAGCAGCATATCCATACAGGTACTTATCTGAGATCTTGATCTGTTTTATGTTTTTGGCCAACGCACATGTGAACAAAATGTTCAGCACAGCACCAGATATGCAAGTCATGCTCACTTTGTTAAACAACGTGAAGAAGACCTCTTGGTGATTGCTCATATCAATGCCCCCATAAAGCCTCAGCAGCTCCTCCTCATCCTCCGCCATGGCCTCCTCAAACGCCTCACATTGGATAATTAAGTCCTCATCCTCTTGCTCCCTATAATAAAACGCACACAGGCAGGCTGAGGACGGGATGAGATGTTCATTTGAACTGTTGAAGGTTAACCACCATCTACATTCATTTTAATAAAGTGATATGAAACTCACCTCAACTTTGGCAGAAGGTCAAGCAACTGTAACCCTGAGAGACAAAACAAACCACTTTTCACGAGTCGTACTGCAGTTCTGAGTCTCCAAACACTCTCACGAACACAAGCACACACTCTACAAACAAACCCAAGAGGCTGAAGCTCCATGTACGTCGTTCACCAAGGTGAGCGCAATTAAGCCTGATTAAGCAGCCGGAGCTTCCAGCACAGCCGCCATTGCTTCACAAACAGAAAAGTGAAGCACAAGAAAGTTCCGGAATGCTAGTTTAGATTAGCCCATCTATTCAACACGTCCTTTTTTAATGAAGCGACTTTTAGCTGCTATAACCAACTGTAGAACACGAAGCTGAAAATGGCGCCAAAATGGAACTACTGCACCATTTAAGGTGAAGCAGAAAATTCGAACAAAACCACAACTTCAGCTTCGTCTGTAGGAACGACCACAGGTTATGTTAATTCTGTGCGAACGGCCAAGTCGGTAAATATTCCATCGGTATTCTGTGAAAATGAGTTTTGTGTTTTTTCTTAACGGAACGCCCAAAATGTGGCCCAAAAAAGCGTTCCGTTATTCTTGTGATTCCGTGTGTGAATCAGTCATAAACAGACCTTATGTGGTAAAACCATATTACTCCACCGCCTCATGTTAAAATAGTCCCTTCCGAAAAGCAAGGACAAATATGGCGGAATGGTGTTTTTATTTTAGTTTCGACAAATTCATACACGCTAGTTCGTCTTTGGAGCTGTTCATTAAAGGGAAATTACACCTATTTTTTTCAAAGCTTCTGAAAAATGTGAAATGGCTCATTGAAACATGCACACTCAAATTTATTTACAGTTGTGGTGATAGGAACTAGGAGTTGTGATGTCTACAACACAAATTTAGACATTTTATTTACTATCCAAAACCACTAGTGAACCTATGTCTTCTGAGTTTCTATATGTAATGCTTTGTGATGGTAAAATAGTCATAAGTTTCTTAGGTGACTATTTTGCCTCACTGTGCCCTGCATGTACCCCCATGCCATGAATGTATTCAAATAAATGGATTAAACTTTATCACAAAACTATCATAAAACAATCAGACATCTGGCAGCATATATTTAACCACCTCATGTAATAACTTTCAGTGAGGAAGCTTTCAGAAGTGTAAAACTCTTCAGACGTCTGGTTCCTGTTAACATCACGGTGAGCAATTCTGACTCAGCAAGTTTCTCTAGAATGGAGCATTTCACATCAAACCACGTAATTAAACCATTTAATTATGTAGAATTATTGAGAAATCTACATGAAGAGTTTAAAGAGTTCCCCTTTAACTTGACTCTCTGGAATTTTGTGGTATTGGGTGTGGATTCACACAATAGAGAAACAGCAGCACAACCAAAGTAAAGAGGATTCAGTGTGTATACCAATAAACTCCTTGCGCATTTTGTCCCTTTGTCGAAGGTCATCTGTGCCAAAGATGAGGGCGTTGATCACACTCAGCAGAGTCACCATATAAGGGACGTTATCTGTGCTTTCCAGCTCATTCATGATCACACTGAAGCGATACTGCTGGGTCTTAACTGCCTACAAGATAAAAAAACAAAATAATCGTTCCTCTTCTTATATGGTCTAACCTGTAAATCTGGAGCTAATAGGCCACAATGTGAATGATTCCTAAGACAGACTCAAAGAAACCATAGACTTTACAGATCTATCAAAATGTATGGGCCTACACATCTTTATATTTACTCATTTTAAAGATTCAGATCACGAGAGTGACTCACTTGGATGGATTCCAAGACTAAGATCAATCCTAAAACTAGCCTAAAATGGATTTTTAGTTTCATGTTATTTTGAACATTCATGTTACAAATGGATCAAACTGCTGAATTTTCTATCCTGAGAAATCGGCACACATAAGTATACATATAAATATGAACATTGTAGTGTTAGTGGTCTACACCTGCCTTGTAATGGTCCAGGGCATCCAGGGCCAGTCTGTATCCCTCGGCGGAGAACATGCTGAGGGCAGCCAGCAACTCAAACACTTGCTTCTTCACCATAGTGTTTGAGGTATCCAAAGCTGTAGATGATCAAGTAACAAAAACTGTTTTAACATTTTTGACATACCTTTGTTCTTTTTTTGTTTTTGTGTCGTCTCCCATACACTATAGGTTTCTAATAGTGTCGATTGACTACACTTCTGGGGGATGTGAAATGAACTTTGGACCACCGAGAGGAAAAAAACAGCCAAGAATGTGATTGGTCTTGAGGAAACTGGATCATTCAGTAAGGCAGACCCTACTATGCTGGAGTTTATATGTGTTTCAGTTTTTTTTTCTCCCAAAACTCTTCTAACAGTGCTTGTTTTAAGCATTATTTCTTGAAACAAGCGAAATTATCTGCATTTTGTCTTGAAACAAACACTATTACCTGCCAGTAGAATGAGGCAGTTTTTCTAAATAAAATATTTAAAGCAAGTAAAAACACCTAGATATATGACTGTGCTTAAAATAAATGCTTTTAAACAGTGTAGATAGTATCTATGTTATGGTTCTCTAAAATTCCTACAACAAAAACGCTAGACATTCTAGCCAGTATCTATGTGATAATCTTTGGTACAATGGGCCCGCCTATGCCCACAAGATTGTGATGGCATTGCTATGCTAAGCCAAGAGGCTGTCAAAGTACTTTTGTTTTACTTGGAAAATGGAGACTTCTGGTCTGGATCCATCCTCAAAAAAGTCTGTCCAATAAAAGCAGAGCTAAGGGACTTTCCTATTGGATGGTCCCCAACTTTTGGCCCAGGTTACCCAGCTAACTGAGAATTCTTCCTTTTTGAAATCCCCCTGGAATGTGATTTGGAAAAACATCAAATTATCTACCCTGAACATGAGGTTCTGTTATATTCAACTAAACTACTAGTTTCTGCTACTTCAAGAGATGACAAAAAGATTCCAAACCTCTGCACAAGATGCAAAGAAACAAATTTACAAAGCACAGTATAACTGCTTATCCAGATACCACTGCTTTACTGGATGTATCTTTTATCAGCACTGACATTAGTTATGTTTTCACAGACTTTCTGTGCAAATTGCAAGCATTAAAATGAATGTGTAAAATATTTTTCGTGCTTTTAGCTGCCTGGCAGCTCGTTTCCACTGACTTCAAGCATTAAAAATGCTTTATGTAATGATGCCATTTCTTGCAAAAAAAATAGTTGTTGCATAAGTTTTGGTTTATCGTTTTTAAAAAAGAAGTTTTACATGTCTTCATCTCAAATTTCAAATGTGTCACCACTTGTGTACCTTTGGCTTCCCTGATTTCGCCATAATATACTTATATGGACATACTGTTGATTTTATTTCTTCCTCTTATTATTATTTTTCCATTTGAGCCGTTGCACAAGAGATCACATTTCTCTGCTTTTGTTTAGAAAGGCTGTAGCCTTTTTTTGACATCTCTCGCTTAAAAGTGACAACATTCCTTTTAAAAATGCTCGTCTCATCCTCAGTCCAGCTGTACTTCTATTCTGTTTGAGGCATGTGAGGGGAATCTGTTGCACTACATTTATACATAAGTGTGTTATTTTTTTCCTGAAAAAAAGTTTCTAAGGTTTTTGCTACATTTCAGGCATCAGTAAACAATTTCAACTAAAGATGAATGGAAAAATGTTTTGTTGACTTCCATGAAGTATCACAGACGATTTTCCTTTCCATAGCATACATCGACAAACTTTTTGAAGTGTTGCAACGTTTTTTGGCAGAAATCCTTTAGATGGAAACATAGCTACTTATGTGTGTAAAGGCCCCAGCAACACCTCATACACTCCTACCAGCAGCAAAACACACTACCACTACTTTGTCAGTGCTGAGAAAGGAGCACTACTCAAAAAATATCTGGTCAGCAGTGGTTCTACTGTGGTCCCTTTCCACTGATGGATGTGGTAGATGGTGGCTAACATATTGTGCAGCAACAGATGGGCTATAGTGAGTGTGCAAAAGTTTGGTCACCCTTGGTCAAATTACATGTTTTGTTGATTTTCACAGTGAAAATAACAAAAAAACATAAAATGTTGTCTGTGCCACACGCTCCAAGCACATATTATCTTTTAGGTTTATTTATAAATATTATATGTTTATTTTGTATATGCTAAACTCATATAAATAAAAACTATGGACTGAAGTTTGCAGAAAATGTAATATTTAAGTGTTCTCTGTAGAAGATGTGTTAACTTATTTTCACTTGTAAAATCAACAAAACATCTACCAGCGGTGTTCAAATTTTTGCAAACAACTGTACCTGCAAAATTGAAGATGCCCCAATATAAGAATTGTGGGCTGAGGACAATATCTACTACTTGTCATGCACACATCTGCTGATGCCAATATAAAAACATTTATAAAATGCAGAAATTGGGACTCAGTCTTCCTGGATTAACATTGCAGAGAAGATATAGTAGTCATTTTATAGGTTTACAAATGCAGTAAAATGAATAAAATGCAGATATTTTAGCACAGTAGCACACCGTTGCCTAAAATTAAATATTAGTTTGAAATATTGGTCAAATCTAAACATCTATCCATTGCTGATCATTTTAAAGCTATTATCTGCTGATACCGATATGAATCCGATGTCATTGTGCATCCCTACTGCAAATTGTGTGTCTGAGATTGCAAATTTGATATGGCCCAAATATTTGATGGAGTAATTGCACACGAGCAGGCCAGGTGTGGTTGCTGGAAGTTAGCCTGTTTAACACAGCATGAGAGTGCCGCATCTCAGCAAACTTAGTAAGCCACCACTGCCACAACTGAGCCACCACTCAACCACTAGTTTAATCACTTGATCTAGTTTTTATATGCAAATTATGGCACAGTAATAGCCCAGCTGTACTTGTGCTTGAGTGGAGCCTCAGGTTCAGACCATGTCAAATTTGCTACATGGGCTGTTTGGTAGGTGAGGCGTACCATATAAAATGACCAGGACTATAGGTCCAAAGTAGATGTAGCTAATAAACCAGCAACTCACTGTACATACCAACTTACTCCTGCATATTCACATGAGCAGGACTTGAAATGACAAAGTGCTTTACCTTGTGATAACTTGCGCACGTAGCCCTCATTTTCCACAATGAAGTGTATCCCTGCAGAGGAGTTCATAACCGCCTTCACACAGTTCACACAGGTCAGCTGCAGCAAGGCATCCGCGATCCGTGAGCACCCACGTCCAGAGAGCCTGTCCAGGGCTTCCAGGAGGAGGTCCAGCCCTGACAGCTCCAGGAACTGCACCATCCATGTCTGGTCGCTGCCCTCCAGCCGCTTCTTCAGCCCAGAGTAGTTGACCACGGTGGGCACCTGTAGCAGACGGATGCACAGCTCCGGGTCTGCGTTCTCCAAATTGGCCTCCTGAGGGCCATCTGAGTCCTGAGATGATCCCAGTCGACCCTTGACGGCCGCCCATTTCTTTTGAACTCTGTCTGACTTAACTGACATGGCGGAGATGGAAGGAACTGTGAAAACAAAGTGAACAGAGATCAGTTGAATGCTCTGATTTGACTGAAATTAGGCATGCTTTAACTCTGACTCATGGAGCTTTGGTAAGTACCCTTCTGTGTAGTTAAGCACTGATTTGCATGCCATCTGCTCAGATATATAGGGTTTTTGTGGTCCTGAAAGTGCCATTTGGCACACACAGTAAAAGACTTTAAGAAGTCTATCTAGGGGCCATTCTGTTTTTCTAATTTCATGGTGTTATTTTTGTTTATTCCAGATATCTATTTTTTTTAATGTACGTCTTAACTACATTTCTGATGTAATTTTTTTGTAGATTGTTTTTAAAATTTGTTGTACCATACTATGCAAAAGTCAGAGACCAACTTTCGTTTGTTTAATTTCCAGTCAAAATGGCCAAGTTCATTCATATTTCAGGAGATGCTACTGAAAATATTTGGGATTATTTGGATTGTGAGAAGGAGAAGATCTTTGGAGGTATAGAAAAACATCCTTGCCAATTTCATTGAAAAACTGAAAGCAAGTCTCCCAAAAAGAATGAAAAAATTAGCACATTAAATCACATTGAAAATGTGATTATTTAAACTATTATATTTAGTTGGTGAGGCTTCTGTGTAATTTTCAAGTATATATTTTCTGTTTTTTTTTTCCTGAAGCTGAAAAATGAAACCTCAAATTATTGCCGTTTTGACTGGAAATGAAATAAATGAAGGGTAGTGACTTTTGCCGAGTAACTGTGTTTGATCAAAACTGTTTTGCTAGTTACTTTACGTAACATTTGTGTATCACACTGATAAATCCTGAATAGAACCGCAGTGTTACATAATACTTTCTTCATGCAAATTAATCTCGTTATTATCAGCAATTTAGTCGTTTAGTATTTAAATGTCTTGGAACATCTTTAGTCATGCCTAACTGCTGAAATTGCTCTTTAATGCCAGCCACTTGGCCTTTGGCCACTGCACAGCCTGGTTGCTGGGAAATCAGACACTGTAATTTTATAGTGAAAACATAATAACAACTTTACATTTATAGCACTTTCATCTTTGTGCCAGACTTTCTACAGCAGTGCAGTGGCTGACACATGATGCTGCAAAAACACTAATTACTGGCACTTACAGTCGTTTCAGGGACACGGGTATTCCATGGGAACAAATATGAACCAGTGTGACTGTGTAAGTGAAACCTGTGTTCTACAGTTGGACCACTGCAGCAACAAAGGTTCATATCTTTGTGCGAGCAGACATTCCATTGGCAGAAGACAATATCACACTCCAGCTGACTGGCTTTGCGTTCAGGATGCAGTCAGGATGAAATGAATCTAAACTGGCCTGCAGTCAGAGGAAGTGACAGCTGTGCGCATTTGGTGAGAGACAGCATGGGTCATCAAGCCTTTCAGCTCTCCTCCTGCCAAACGTCTAAAGCCATTCTAAACAGGCACTGATGTACGTTCAATGCCAAAAGACAACAAAAAGTGATGAATCCACCAACAGCTCCAACAGACAAGTTTTCCAAACTCAGTGACCATCATTCACACTATGCAATGCAATGGAATTTGTTTAATGTGTTGGTATAATATACATCCACCCCTTCAGCAACTTTGCAAATTGTCCCTATCGCTGACACAGGAATTCGGTTGCGCACAACTAGCTTCTATATTCTCCTTAGAAAACCATTTCCCATAGAAAGGGATGCTCTGTTGCACGTGCACATGAGCCTAAGGTCGCCATGCCCAGTGTCAAGCACAGGCTAGAGGGGTGTAAAGCCCCCTGGCATTAGACTGTGGAGCAGTGGAACTGCATTCTCTAGAGTGATGAAGTTTATTGCAGTATATATTGGATTGGGTCCCAATAGATGACATTATATAGGCCTAATTTAGCTCCTTGAAAAATCCACATTTTGTCATTTCTGCCACATCTTCCAGCAGCATGTTCAGCTTAAATAAGTTCTCCACAGTGCAAAAACAAAACCTTTCCTTTGCAATGAAGAAAAAATGGTCTTTTCTCATGTTTATATTTGGTTTCCACATCATTTTTTGCAAATGTTCCAATGGTGCTTGGTTGTACACTCGTGGACAGCCTCTTCTGCTCAGTTATACATGCAGTACATGCAATCAAGCTGCAAAGTTGCTGGTCACCATCTCAGTACAGAATTAGTATAATCCTTTTTGAATAAGAGGGCAGATTTGAATACTACAAATTGGTCAGGACAGTAGGCATGATAATAGCCTTAGACTGCCCAAGACTACCTTCTCCATACTGAAAAGCCCAAAGCTGTTTCTGTTGTCTATGCATATATTCATCTTAACAGGCTGTGGCAGGGTCAGGCTAATGTTTTTGTTCTTTTGTTCAGCTCTTAACACCCATGTCTTACAGTTAATGCAGCATCAGTGAGGGAGGGGTTTGGGGGCAGACAAAACATGTCACAAAGGGATTCAAGTATAGACTCATGGTTGTGTAACTCAAGCACAGTGTCACATTCCAACCCTGCAACAGCCCAGTAAAGAAAACATAATTAGCACCACCTGGTTTGAACTGGCTTAAAAAATCTGCCAAGGATCTGCCAGGAAAGAGAGGGATGGGCCTTCCTGTAATCTCTGCCTGAACAAGTGTAACTGTGCGGGTGTGATAGAGAATCACACGAGATTCTCCTCTCAAACCTCCATCCCTGTTTACAGATGATTTCCTTTACCCCATCACTAACTTTCACATTCCCAAAGAGACAAGGTTTCACCTCACCGGATTCTACCTGATGCTTTTTTGATTTACAGATACTGTTTGGCTAAGTTGTACAGCGTTAAGTTGTGCAAGTGTAAGTGAAGCATACAAAAGTACACCTTGCAGGGTGATGGCAAGTCTACGTGGGGTGTGGTGGGGCATAAACCTGTTCTTTTTTTATGAAGAGGAACAAGTGAATGGATGCTTTTGGTGCCCTTTCCCTGAATAATGGCACGAACTGCAGGAAAACATCAAACTATTGTTAAATTTATCAAGAGAAATGGAGTTTTATGGTTAATGTTTTAGACTCCATGTGTCAAACACATTAGGCCCATAACACAATCCTACCCAGCAAAAGTATTTTAACTTTCTATTAATATTAGATCATTTCACAATGTTCTGCACTACAGTCCTCAGCATGCACTGCAACATAATGTGCTCTGACTCTCCAAACCCAACAACAATCTATAGGATAGTGGTTACACCTCAGTTCTACACTATTCTATGCAATTCCACACCAGTCATATCACCTAACTGCAGTTCAGCCAATATAAACATGTAACGTTAACTCAGCAGCTCAAAAATTGAGCCAAAGGATTAATGAACTTGCAGCAAAGAAAAGATGCCATGGTGTCTAGTTTAAGCAAATTGGTAAGTTTAAAAGACCTGCTCCTGGGGACAATTAAATTTTGAATACATCAAGTATTCATCTAATATTTCAAGGTTTACTTCAAGTGTCTATATTTTACGGTTGAAGAGCAATGGTTAGTTTGATTTATAGCAAAATGTTAATTAAAAATGAAATAAAACATAGGCGTTCTCTGGCCCCCAGATTTGTTGAGAGTTTTTAATATGGCCCTTTTAGTGGTTAAGTTTGACACCCCTGTTTTAGACAATCGCAATATCCTGATTTTTTTCAGACCTGCAGTTTTCATGTGTTGAGCAAACAAGGGTGAAAATCTTTGACCTCACAATGATTCGATTTGATTGCGATTGTTTTAGGAAATAATTTTAATGTAAGTTAATATGAAGAGATTTTATTCCAAGAAATTTTGGAGCATTTCCATCGGCCTATTTATCAAGGAATTTTCATACAATGTTGAGCAGGGGTGTCCAATCTTATCCTCAAAAGGTCGTTGTAGGTGCAGGTTTTCACCCCAAACCAAAAAGAGCACACCTGATTCCACTCGTTTAATCAATGAGTCTCAGTCTTTAAACAACTGATCATGTGAGCTCCTACTTTGTTGCAATGAAAACCTGCAGCTACACTGGCCCTTTGTGGATAAGATCGGACACCCCTGATGTAGAGGGTAGCTGCTGTGCTCACATGAAAAATAGAAATCGAAAAAAGAGATTTTTTATGTTCTTTGAAACCTCATTAGGCAGTAATGTTACTTCTAGTAATTTCAGTAATTTCTATTGTTAGTGTACTGCTGTACTGTTGTCTTGTACACTTTAATATTTTATATAATATTTCATCTGAATAGTAACTGGCACTTCACTGAGTATGTTTGTCACTTTGTTGGCCCTGCTTACCATGCCACACATGCTTATTATGGATACTGCATACAGGCTGTATGTATGCATGTAATATCCTGTCCTGTGTTTAATCCTGTTTAGTAGTCATTGCTTATTATATTGTATTGTTGCTGTTATATTGTTGAAGTCTGCAGGAAATGATGTTCATGAATGACGTGTAAGAATTTCTTTCACATGACAATGAAGAACTTTGACTTGATTCTAACATCATCACCATCATGATATGCTGATACATTTTTACGCCACTTACTCATGACAAGGCTCATGTTCTAAGGAATATTCTAGTCCAGCTAAAACTAAGGGAGAGACACGCTTCATCAGTTTCACAACATAGTGAGCGACAGTCTTGCACAACCCTGCCTGTGTCTGTGAATGCACAAAATGTCATCATGCAGTAGCAGTCATCATATGAGCTAAACTGGGCTTGGCTGATTTGACTTTTAACTGGATGAGTTTATGTTATGTTTGCTTTGCCTGAGGAGTGAGTCCAGATATAACAAGCCATGATACTTTTGGTTTGCATGCTTACAAAATTTCTTGGCCGCCGGTCAGCGTTTGTTAGGTGTCTTTCATCAGTTGATCCTTGTTGAATAAGAGGACAGATTTGATTGCTGCTTGATGGTCGAGTGGAGGTTGGTGGAGTTGCTTGCTACTAACACACCAGAGAGAGTTTACACTGGTTTAAAAGACTTGATTGCATGTATGGGGTGTAAAATGCAGCAATGCATTGTGACATAGTCGAT